ACTCCAAGAGGTAAAACTACAAAGCTTTCAGAAAACATAGGAAGAAAGCTTCACGATATCGGACCTGACAATTTCTTGGTTACGATGCCAGACACACAGGCAATGACAGACTAAATAAAATATTTTTAAAAACATAAAAGAAAATCCACGTGGAAAGGCAAAAGCCTCAGAATAGTCAAAACAATCTTAGCAAAGAAGAGCAAAATGGGCTACGTCTAAACTTAAAACTTTTGTACATCTAGGGCAGAGCGGACAGAAAAGGCAACCCATGGAATAGTACAAAATATTTGCAAATTATATATCTGATAAGGAGTTAACATCTAAAATATATAAAGAACTCCTAAAACTCAACAACAACAAACAACCTGATTAAAAATGGGCAAAAGAATTGAATAGGCGTTTTTCCAAAGAAGATAGGCAAATGGCCAATAAGCACATGAGAAGATGTTCAGTGTTACTTGTCACTAGGAAAGTGTGAGCCCAAACCACAAGATACCACCTCACACACCTGTTGAAAAGTCTACTGCAGAAACAACAAAACAACGGGTGCTGGTGAAGATGTGCAGAAATCGAACCCTTGTGCACTGTCAGTAGGAATGTACGTGGTAGGGCCGCCGTGAAAGACAGTATGGCCGCTTGTCATAAAATTAAAAATAGAATTACCGGGGACCCCCTTCTGGTTATACCCCCAAAGGTACTGAAAGCAGAGTCTCAGAGAGAGAGATGTGTGCACCCGCATTTGTTGAGGTATTAGTCACAGTAACCAGAAGGCAGAAGTAACCCAAATGTCAACAGACAATAGACAGACGAATGGATAAAATGTGGGACCCACACATGTACAATGGAATATTATTTGGCCTTCAAAAAGGAAAGGGATTCTGACACACACTGTACCATGGATAAACCTTGGGGACATTGTGGTAGGTGGAATAAGCCCATCACAAAAGGACAAAGAATGTGTGATCCCACCTACGTGAGGTATCCAGAGTCGTCAAATCAGAGATGCAGAAAGCGGGGCAGTGGTTGTCAGGGGCTGGGAGCGGGCAGGGGGAGCAGGGAGTAACTGTTCACGGGGACAGAGGTCCGGTTTTGCGAGATGCCAGGAGTTCGGTGGGTGGGTGGCGGTGACGGCTGCACCACAACGTGATGCGCTTGGTTTCAGTGCGCTGTCGGTGGGAATGTACGTGGTAGAGCCGCCGAGAAAAACAGTACAGCCGTTTGTCATAAAATTAAAAACAGAATTACCAGGAACCCCCTTCCGGTTATACCCCCAAAGGTACTGAAAGCAGGGTCTCAGAGAGAGAGATGCGTGCACCCGCGTTTGTGTGCTGCCTGCGTGCAGCTCGTCCTGGTCAACTTCCCAGCCACGACTGCGAAGGCCGCGTAACCCGGGGTAGGTCCAAGGGCGCTGCCAAGCCGGGGGCGCATGGCTTCCTACCTCACTGCGCCCTACTGTGCCCGAGACAGAAGGAGACCGGCCTCCTCCAGCAGCCAGCGCCTCTCGGACCTGCGCTCCAGGTCACGGGGTGTGAGTGAGCTGTGGGGTCCCAAAGAGCGAGGCTGACGAGAGTGAGGCTCCCGCCGTGTCGCCTGTGGTGCCTGCCACTCACGGCCAGGGCCACCCATCGGCCTCTGCCTCCCGGTCTCACGTGGCACATGTCCAAGGCTCCGTGGAGGGGACTTGGAAATACAGTCGGCCCTCGAACAACACCGAGGGGCCTCCCTCCCTGAACTGCATGGGTCCACTTATACACAGATTTTGGTCAGTAAGTACATACAGTTCCATAAATATATTTTATCATTTTCTTTTTTCTAGCATATTTTATTGTAAGAATACAGTGTGTAATACATATAATATACAAAATATGTATTGATTAGTAGCAGTAAGGCTTCCTGTCATCAGCGGGCTGATAGTAGTTGTTTTAGGAGATCAAAAGTTGTCTGCGGATGTCGACTGCCATGCGTTTGGCGTCCCTGACCTCTGGTGGTTCAAGGGTCAACTTTCACGACAGGGGCGGCGAGGCGGGGCTGCAGGGAAAGAAGGTGTAGAGACGTGACCCGAAAACAGATGGGCAGCAGGAGGGAAGGGAGCAGGAACCGAGAGAAACAGACCCCCCCGCCCCGCAGAGACCTGGGTGGGGGCGTGGCGAGGCCCTGGTCCCTCCGAGAGCCTTTTTCCAGGGTGGTCTGAGTGAGCCCTGCTCCTTACAGTCCAGGAAGTGGGACTTGGGAAGACTGTCCACACCCTGGGGACCTGCACCTCCCTGGCTGGTTAATGAGTCCACGCTCCAGCCTTCTGTCCTCCCTCCCACCAGCCCCGCCCCATGGGCCCAAACTAAGTGGCACCAACACAGGGGCCTCATTCACCTCATCTCCATGGGGCCTAGAAACGACCTAGAGCGGAGCCAGGGCTCCGGTGGTCCCAGGGGGAGCCACACGCTCCCCCCTCAGAGGTCCCTGCCTGTCTTCCACATGGGCTCCTGCCTTCCCAGCGCCATGACAGCATCTCCCATACTTGCCCCTTTCAGACTCACCTGCCCACGAAGTGAGGGGTGAGTCCACGCTGGCTGTCACAGAGCCCCCCCTTCCCCCGTGCTGAACGTTGAGTGCGTGGGGCTCCTGAGCCCACACACCTGGGGCTCCAGCCACCACACCTGCAGGGGAACCATACCTGCAGGGGAACCACACCTGCAGGGGAACCACACCTGCAGGGGCCCTGGCCTCTGGGCCTCTGTCTCACTAGCCCCTCGCTAGCCCTCAAGCGTGTTCTGCACCTCCCCCAGCCCCAGCATGAGTTTGGGGGTGCACCTCTGCTCTCGCCTCACTCTGGGTGCTGCCCGAAGTCCAGCCCACCGTGGGGGGAGAGAGATGGGGTCCGGGGCATGAGGCCCCTGCGGTCTGCAGCCGAGCTGTCGGGTTCCCTGCTCTGGTCGTCTCTCTCAGCGATAGTCAGGGCAGTCGACATGTAAAGAAGAGGCTGGGCAGCCCCCGCCGGGTGGCTCAGGCGGTTGGAGCACCGTCCCACAAACTGAAAAGTTTGCCAGTTCGATTCCCAGTCAGGACCTACACCTAGGTTGTAGGTTTGATCCCTGGTAGGGGCGTGTTCAGGAGGCAACTGATTGATGTGTCTCTCTCTCTCCCTTCCTCTCTCTCTAAAATCAATAAATGTATCCTTGGATGAGGATAAAAAAGTTTTAAAGAAAAAAAAGAGGAGGCTGGACCAAGGAACAGTTGTACTGACTTTATTCCCCTCACTCCACTCTTCTCACTCCTCCGCCTGCTGCTCCCCACACACTTTACGGGGCGGGTCCCCGGGCCTGGGCACAGCTGTTCTGCCCCCGCTGTGAGGGGCACTGTGGCAGCCCATGCCAGTGTCAGAGGCCCAGGCTCTGAGACCAGCCCGGCTCCCGGAACTGGGGTGGTGGGGCCCGAGTCCGGAGCCCTCGCCTCTCTGGCCACTCACCCCCACCTGGCCCAAGGCCAGGGAGCCCCAGAGGAGCTGGGCAGGGACAGGCCCAGGTTCCAGGCCCGAGGGCTGGTCCAGTGGGTTGACAAGTCCAGCTGGACAGAGGGACCTCCTCACCGCCAAACTCCAGGGAGAGGGGATGATCCTACACCCCACTCCCCACCACTACCGCCAGCCCTGGGGGATGGGTACGAACCCCGGTCCCTTCAGTCCAATATCCAGGTGCTTATTAATCTGTTGTTAAAATAAAAAGGAAATGGAAGAGCTGGTGGAACAAGAACCCCGTCCGTACTGGCGCTGCTGAGGTTCCATTATTGCTTCAGACCTTCGTGGTCTGGCTGGAAAGGAGTTCCCTCCCGCCATGGCCCGAAGGGGGAGAGCATTTAGCACCAGGGACACAGGGCTCCTGTCCCCACTGGGATGTAGCTACAGGACCATCCTGATCAGAGCCCAGTCTGCTGTCTGGACCCCTGTCCTGCCCTGGAGGGAAGGGATGAAAGGACAGGAAACCTCAGCCGTGGGACAGGGTTTCGTATCAGCTCCCCCACTCCCATCTCTGGCCTCTGCTTGTCCAAGTCTGGCCTGGCCAGGGCCCCAGGCTTGCTAAGGCCGCAGTGGGGCTAGCAGGTGACAAGGCCACCAGCCCCTATGGTAGAGCCTGGTGTCAGTGACAAGGGGTTGGGAACCCATGGGGGTCCCGGCCTGGAGCCCGTTGGGGAAGACCAACTTTTGGGGGGAAATGTGAGCCCGCTCTGGAGAGCTGCCAGGCACTGGGACCAGAGGTTAGAAAGAGCAAGCATTGGGGAGTGGGGAGGGGGGACCCTGAGGACATCATGGAAGCCCAGAGATAGTGGGTACGGGAGAGGGAAAGAGCTTCAGTAAAGCAGGGGCCGAGGAGGCCCAGGCTGGGGACGGGAGCCACAGAGCTGGGGCCAGACCAGAAGCCTTGCTCTCTGGGGGGAGGGCCCACTTTCAAACCCCAGAGGATGCAGGGGCCCCTGAGGGGGTGTCTGCAGGCTCTGCCCTGCCCCTGGGGCACAGGCAGCCCCAAACTCAACCAGGCCAGGACACTGCCCCCTGTGTGCCCGGAGAGCTGGCAGGCGGTGCGGCCTGGGCTACAGACCCTCAAATCACTCGGGCTCCTTGGGCCTGCCCGTATCTGTACAGAATAAAGTGCTTCGTTTATTGATGATTAAAATGTGCCCAGTTCCCTGCCCCAGTGCCACGGCCTCGCAAGGAGGCCAGAGGGGTTCGGACCCCCTCAGCCCATCGGCTGATGGGGCCCAGCCACCCCTGGTCCCCCTTGGGCTCAGGCCTCTTCCCACTCCAGCCGTGCTGGGAAGGTGATGGGGGGTAGTCGTGGGGGTTTAAGGTGCAAAGAGTATAACAAACAAAACCGTATAAACACAATAGGAAAGAGCTTAACTAGGAAACATGTAGCTTATGGAACCTTCCTCCTCATTTGAAAGGCAGGAATAAAGATGTTAAATGACAACCAAAAAGGGTGACCTATTAGTGCTGGCCTCACGGGGGGGGGTGAGCACTGTGCACAGGAAGGGGCTCCCCCACCCCCTGGACTCCACCCTGCCCTCGGGGCCTGAACGTGCAGGTCCTTTCACTAACGATGCCACAGGCACCCTGACACCAGCGCAGGGGCCCGGGGAGATGATGATGCCGGACACCAGCCAGGGCAGGTTGTGGTGGGGCCGAGGAGGGCATGAGGCCTGGCATTGCCCTCGGGGAGCAGGGACGAACACAGACACACGCGTCTCCTCCAGTGTGGGAGGCACGGCCAGGGCAGCCGGTGAGGGCGGGTGCTCAAGAACAGAAGCCCCTGCCTGCTGCCCCACTGATAGCACCTTGACACCTCAAAACAGGTGCCCGAGCCTCCCCCCCGGGCCCTTCCCCTGGGGTCCACTCATTTGCAGGGGCTCCTTGACGGCAGCCTCTGGAAGCTGGTGCTGTGGGAGCCGACCCATCTGCCGCCCAGGGCTCGATGCGTGGCCTGGTGTAGGTCGGGTGATGGGTGGGGAAAGCCAGTGCCTGGGGTCCAGCCCCTGCCTGCCCCGCTCTGCACAGCGCAGAGCTGGGTCTAAAGTCTTCACGCCTCACCGCTCCCCACCCACCATGCTCACGGGCACTCAGTCTCAAGCCCCTGTTCCATGTGCACAGATTCAGACTGAGCCCTCAACTGCTCCAAGGGGGCTGGGATCCCCCGCCTCCCTGAACCCCCCCAGGACAAGGGGGAAAGTCAGGGGGCACAGGGGAGGCAGGGGCGAGCCGCTGAGGCTGGCCAGGGCTCCACCTGGACGACCGCCTGGCTCAGGCCTCAGCAGACTGACAGGTCACACCTGCTCTCCAGGCCCCCCCTTCCACTGTATCTGCTGCCTCTAGCGCCCCCTCACCTGGAGGGGGGCACTGCAAATAGTTTCCTCTCTTTTCTTTTTCCTTCGCTTTCAAAAAACAAAAAACAAAAAAACAGGAAAGGCTTCAAGGAGTCGCTGAAAGGGAGCACTTGGGAGTGAGGTGTCCTCCAACAGATCTGGGGTGCCTCCAGCCTGCACCCCTGCTAGGGGCAGGGGCCTCAAGCAGAGCGTGTCCAGCCACCTCTGGGGATGGGGGCGCAGCGGTGCCAGGCAGGTGGGCACTCCCACAAGGCAGGGAGGGTGTGGGGGTGCTCCCAGCCGCCCCTGGGCTCTCCAGGTCCTGCACGTGTAGAGCAGGGTTAGTTGTCGGCACTCATCCGCCCTCCGCTGTTGGCAGTGGTGGGGAAGAGTGGCGGAGGGGTGGGCAGGTGGGGCGGCGGTGGCAGGGTCTGGGGCAGCCCGGGGAGAAGGGGCAGGGCGGGAGCCTGAGGCTGGTTGGGAGGCAGGCCTGGTGCAGAGGGGGGGCCGTCACTGGCCAGTGGGTGGCTGACGCGGAAGCATTTCTCTTTGTGGGCCTTGAGCATGTTGGAGAAGCGGAAGCGCTGGCCACAGACGTCGCAGGGGTAAGGCTTCTCGCCCGTGTGGGTGCGCCGGTGCCGCTTCATGTTGGGCCGGCTGGTGAAGCTCTTGCCGCAGATCTCGCAGATGTACGGCTTCTCCCCTGGAGGTGGGCAGTGATTGTCACTGGGGGGCTGCTACACCCCAGCCCAGGGCCGGCCTCCCTGCACCCACAGAACCACAGTGGGGCTCAGCCCTGGCACGCCAGGATCCTCCCCCGCCTGGGCCGCTTTGTACCAGCCTCACCGACCCTGGGAGATGGGGAGTGTGGGCCCCAGCCTCAGAAGGGCGAACTCAGGTCCCAGGCGGGTCAGGGCGGGGCCATCCTGGGCATCCTGAGTGGGGCAGAGACGGGTGGGGCCCGGCAGTCCCGGGGCCTGGGTACCTGTGTGGGTCTTCATGTGCTCGTCGAAGTACTGCTTCATGTTGAAGTCCTTGCCGCACCACTGGCACATGAACTGCTTGTGCCCGATGTGGATGCTCATGTGCGAGCGCAGCTGGTACTTGTACTGGAAGCGCTCGTTGCAGTTCTGAGGGCGGGGTTGGGCGTGAGGCCAGGGGCAGAGAGGGGGCAGCTTGCAGGGAGAGAGGCACTCACTCGCCCTGGCTCCTGGGGCAGAGCAGTGCAGGGCAGAGGTGACGAGGCCATGGGGTGCAGTGTCCCCGTGGGAATGGGGACGGGAAGCAGGAAAAGGCCACACAGTGGAGGCCGACCTCATGCTTAAAGCCGAAGCGCCCCCAGCCTTCTTCGTTGCCCTCGGCCCCACACCTGCGGCTCCGTCTGTCTACCTGAGGTGCTCCTCTCGCCCCCTCTCCCCCAAGTCCGCCCTGTCGTTCCAGCCCAGGCAGACTTCCCACCCCGAATGTGTGTGGTTGGGGTAGGGGTGGAGAAGCAGGCAGACGGGTGACCAGGTCAGGATGCAGTGGGACGTGACAGCCACAGACATCACACGGGGGGCCCCTCTCAGAACCCTGCACCCCACTGCCCTGACCCCTGGCTTCTACGTAGCTGCTGTCCCTGACCTCAGTCTCGGCCTGGGTGGCACCTGCGGCAGGGGAAGAATGGAACTCACCTCGCACCGGAAGGGCTTCTCCCCGGAGTGCTGCAGCGAGTGCACCTTGAGAGACATGCTGCGTTTGAAGGACTTGCCGCAGGTCTCGCAGGTGAAGGGCATGTCCTTGGTGTGAGCTACGGGGCATGCACCATGGCCGTCACAGCTCTGGGGGACCCTACCTGCCCTGGGTCCCACCATCACTGTCTCAGGACCTGAGGCTGCCTCCCAGGCCCCCCGCGTCCCTGTAGGCTAGGTGTCTGCCTGCTCTGAAGTCTGGTCAGACAAGCATGCAGGCCCTTCTGGTTCTTGAGCTTCTGGCCAAGAGAAACAGCCCAGGCTGCCTCACCCACTGAAGTTTCTGGGAGAGATGGAAGAATCCCGTGGGACTGACCCCGCTCCGACCCCGGCCCAGCCACTGGCTCCCCGCTCGGCCTCCATGGGCCTCAGGGTCTTCTATAAAAGGAGCTGGGAGTGGTATTGTGTCGCAGCGGCAGCTTGCGTTACAGGGTGTGACCCCTCCAAAGGTTGGCTGCACCCCCACCCCCCACCAGAACCTACAGATAGACAAGGGAGAAGGTCTGGGAGGCGTGATTGGAGGCAGGTAGGGCCCCCTCAGAGCTCACAGCTGGTGAACCTGAGCCCAGAAAAGACCACTGGTTCTGAGTTACCCAGCATCTCCTGGCTGAGACCTAGACCCGGGGGGTCCCAGCTTGCAGGCAGCTCATGCTGGAGGCCCCCAGCACTGTCTGGTGGAGAAAAGGGGTAAGGCCCACTGTGGCCACCTTTCCCTTGAGCCCAAGTCCAAGAGCAGGCAAGGCGGGGAGGGCTGCAGGGACAGACTCCCAGCCAGGCCCAAGGCAGAGAGGTGGCCCAACACACCCTCAGGGCGCATTCTTACTGGGTCCAGGTGTAACCCTGCGGGGAGGGCTGCCTTCATAAGAGCTGGAAGTCCTGTGACGGCCCCGATGTGAGAGGGAACCAGAGGCACAGCTGTCCTCAAACAGCCTGGGCCAGTGCCAGCTGGGTTCGGACCCTGTCTGCCAGGGTGTCCAGGAGTCCATGTGCAGTGCGCAACCCGCCTGACTGGACACGGCCATCCCGGCCTCAGAGCCTGTCCACCTGTCACTGCCACCAGCGACCCCAGGCCCCCCTGCCGAGAGGGGCCTTCTCGCCCCTTCACGATGCCCTCGGATGTGAAGTTTGGCCCCACACACCCACCGGCCGGCCAGCTCTGTCCTCAGGCTCCACGCCCGACAGGCCTGGACTTACCCACCATGTGCTTGCGCACGTGGGCCATGGTGTAGAACTTCTTCTCGCAGATCTCGCACGAGAACTTCTTCTCCGCGTAGCCGTGCACGATCTTGTTGTGCTCGTGGAGGGACCACAGCTTCTTAAAAGCTTTGCCGCAGGTCACACACTGTGGGGGGAGATGACTTCAGGCGTCGGGTCCCAAGTCGGGACCCTGTGACGGAGGGCAGGCCGCTGCCCCTCTCGGGCCTCACTCCTCCCCTGCATGGTGCTGGGCAGTGAGCCCTTGAGTCCAAGGAGCAGCCAGATCTGATGTTCTGGGGGCTGGGTGTGGCACCTCCCTCAACACCCGCCTGCCAGGGCCGCAGCCCGGGCCCTCCTTCATTCCTTGAACTTAACTAGGGCCCCGGGTCACCTCTCCCAGGAGGCCCCTCCTCTGGGCTCACTTCAACAAGGCATCTCTCTATGGAGGGGAGACCCACGACTGGCGGAAGGGCCCCCATGGGTATGGAGAAGCCCCTCTCAGGCCCAGACATGAGCTCTGCCACCTCCCTGCTGGGACCCATGCCCTGACACCATGGAGATGGCCAAGGGGACAGGTCTCAGAGGGCTGGCTGCGGGAAGTGTGGGGGTGGGGGTGCTGTAGGACCAGGTCCCATTGGGCAGTGCAGGGTGGTGGGAACCTTAAGGCTGCACCTGCCCCCTCCTCTCCCCCTGGGTCCCCAGGCCCATCCCTGCTGGACACCCTCAGAGACCTGGAGGCCAGACCAGGGCTCAAGCAGAAACTGGGTCAGGTTGGTCGGGCTGCCCAGGTCAGAAAGGGAACAAGGGTCTTCCCCCTTCAGAAGGGAGGCTCAGGTGTGCGGCAGGTGGAGCGCCAAACAGCGGCCTGGCAGGCAGGCAGGCAGGCAGGCGGGAACAGGTACGCAAGGGTGGGGCAGAGACCAGGCAACCCCCAGGTAACACTCTCTCCAGCCGCACTGCAATTAGCAATCAGTTCAGGTAATTAGCACCCACCTACCTGCCCTCACCTCACCACACCTTACCACCTCCCAGCCACAAAGGTGGTAACCTGTGCCGCCCACACTTTGAGAGGCCAGTCTGGCCCAAGGCCTAGCTGCCGGCCCAGCTTCCCAGCTTGGCCCCAGCAGCCCCTGCTTTTCCCAAATGTCTCATCCAGTCCCTCTTTCCCCAGGCCCAGGCCAGCTGGCATCTCCAAGAGATGAATGCAAGGGCTCCTTCCTGCCAGCTGCCCCTTACTCAGCCTTGGTGGCAAGTGGGAAATGGCGCCCCCCTCTGGGCAGGCCCTGCCTCCCTTCATCTGTGCTGCTGTGCACGGAACACACCACCGAGTGGCCCTGCTGGCTCATCCCCCTCTCGGCTGGCTGTCCCCCAGTCCTCTGTGCTCTGGCCACTCTCTCATCCTCCCGAGTCCATGCTCCCTTACCCTTCTGGCCAAGGGCACTGTTTGTTCCGATCCTGTCTGCACTTCTTTCCATGTGTCAAAGCCCGGCGCTATCCATTTCCTCCAGAAAGCTCTCCTTGACATTCTCACCGGCTTGGGCCTGGGCTGGCCCTGCTGTCCGGAGGAGGCTAAGTCTGATCTGCCCAGACTGCGCGTGCAGCGGCAGGATCCCGGGCGCCCAGGTTGGCCTGGCCTGGCCCGAGTGGCCGCGTAGCCTCAGCTGGCCTTCTGCCCCGTCCAGCCCCGTCCAGCCCACGGAGCCACCCAGATGCCCACCTGGATGTTGCGCTCACAGTCTGTCTGCCGGTGCAGCAGCAGCTCACTCTCCAGCAGGAAGCGCTTGCCGCACTGGTCACAGATCTGCATGCGGCTGTGGGTCACGTTCATGTGCTTCTCCAGGTACCAGCGGTTGTTGAAAACTCGCGGGCACTTCTGGCACGGGTGGTGCTGCTTCTCCTCCAGCTTCACCTTGGCCCCCAACCCGTCAGGGGCCTGCGGGCCTCGAGCCGGCGCCGGGGCCGCTCCAGGGGGCTGCTTTGACCTCTTCCCACCACGCTGGCTGGCCTCCTCGGGCTCGGCGGGCGCCTGCCGCCGGGCGTTCTCCCGGGACCGAGTGGCCATGTGACTGAGGGGAGGGGGCTCTGCCCGGCTGCCCCTGCGCCCTGCTGGCCCCTGCCTGGCCCCTGCCTCCCCCTCCTCCTCTTCCTCCTCCTCCTCCTCTGAGCTCTCTTGATCCTGGTCACTGTGTCCTTCCTCCTCCTCCTCCTCGTCCTCCTCCTGTTCACTGTGCCCTTCCTCCTCCTCATCCTCCTCTCCCTGACTGCCACCTTCCTCTTCCTCCTCCTCCTCCCCTCCACTGCCACCGCCCTCCTCTTCTTCCTCCTCCTCCTCCTCCTCCTCTTCCTCATCGTCCTCCTCATCCTCCGAGTGTCTTTGCAGCCCGTCCTCCCGGCCCAGCACCATGGTGGCCGGGCCCCCAGCGGCCCCCGGCTTCCCCTCAGGTGTCGTGGACACGTGCAGAGTCTGGTTGTTGAGGTTCACCTCCACGATGATCTGAGACTGCTCCTGGCGGCTGTAGGTGCCAGAGCCCCCAAGCTCTTCCTCTAACTCCTCCCCACCCTCCAGCTTGCACAAGCTGGCCGGGGGCCCGCCAGCCTCCTCCACACTACCCTCCTTCTCCTCCTTGAAGAAGGGCTGGGCTGGCCCAAGGGTGGCAGGCACCTGGCCCCCTGCAGTCCCCGCCCCGTCCTCGACACGCACAGAGTAGGGGTCAGGCCCCTCGCGGGCATAGATCTTGGGCAGGCCTGGGGTGTCGGCCTCCTGCTTGATGTCACAGTAGTAGGGTGGCGCAGCCGGGGTGCAGCTGGCAGCTGGCTGGGCTAGAGCCACAGCACTGGGGCCTGGGGGGCCCAGGGAGCGGGCATCCAGTAGCTCCTGGCAGGACGCAGCGATGTCAGCCATCTGCAGCAAGGAGGCGGCGCTGAGCACCTCGTGCACGTTGGCTGCGTTGACCAGCAGCTTGGACGTGTAGATGAAGTTGAGGATCTGCTGCAGGCCACCTGGGGCCAGCGCCTCCAGGGACAGTTCCACCCGCTGCAGCTGCTTGTTCTGGGTGAAGAGCGAGTGGAAGAACTGGCTGTAGGCGGCCAGCACGCCCTTGTGGGCCGGGAAGACGCTGCGCTGGGGCACCAGCACCAGGTCCACGTCGCAGAGGTCAGGCTGGAAGAGGCGCTGCTCGTTCAGACGGCCCATCAAGCAGGCGAAGTGCAGCGCCACGTCCTCCACCAGCGAGAACTCGGCCGCCGGTGAGTCGGTTGTCTTCTCAACCAGCAACTGCAGGGCAGAGGGCACAGGTCAGGTCACGGCCAGCCGAGCCCGGCCCACCATCCCAGAGGCAGCCCACCCATCATTCCTGGTTCCATGTTACAGAAAGGAGCCAACACTCCAGTGAAGAGGAGAAGGAGGAGGAGGAGGAGGAGGAACCAGAATGCGAGCTCAGATCAGGCGCCCGTCAGAGCTCAAACTCCAATTGTGATTTTCTGAGGCTGCAGACCAGTTAACTTTTCTGGGCCTCCAGCTCTTCCGCTGCAAAACAGGAAGTCCTCTGGGGAAGGGAAGAGGAAGAGGGGAAAAGGGACTGGGGCGACCCACGGTCCAGGTGTGCCAGCAACCTAGGGGGTTCCCAGGATGCAGGGCTTTCAGTGCTAAAAGCAGGACCATTGTGGGCAAACGGACTGGCTGGTTATCCCGGCAGGGGCACAGGCATTTTCTGAGCCCCGTGAATTCTCTCTCCCACACTCACACAAATAAAACCACACCCGCGCAACCCTAGACCCCTCAAGAATAGAAGCCAGGCTCCCTCTCTCACTGCCGACCTCTGGCTACTGCGCCCCTGGGAGTGGCACCTGAGGGAAACCCTGGCCACACCAATGGCCAGCCTCGCCTGGCCTGAGTGTGGCAGAGGTAAAAAACTCTGTGAAGCACTCTCCGCCCAGGGCCTGTGGCTTCTGCTGGCCCGGTGCTGCTGCCCCGCTAGAGGAGGCTGCTGAGACCCAGCCAGCCCCTCACCACCTGCCGGAGCTTGGGCACACCTGGCCCCCAGCAATGCCCCCTCACACAGGGGTTCTGCGGGGCGGGAGGACACCCAGCCTGTGTCGGTCCCAAGGCCTGCCCCCCTCCGGAGGCTCTGAGATGGCCCCATCTTGGAAGGCCACCCCATCCAGGGCCTCTGCAGCCACCGGGGGGCCCTGGAAGTCCAATGGCTCAGGTTGTCTGGCCCCTGTGAACTGTGGCAGTAGGGACTGGCTTAACCTTTCCTGGCTGCACCACAGGGGCCTCCCCAAGAAGTAGGCAGCACAGACAGGCCGGCTGCCCAGTCCCTTGTATAGGTCTAGCACACAGCATCTGCTCACGAACGTGCTAACTACCTGCCTGGTGGGCCCCAGCCCCACAGGTTCCCGGTTACGGCCCTCCTCAGACCCTGTCCAGCGGGGTCAGAGCATCCTGTATCTGAGGAACTTGCTCCAAAGCCATCACCTCCACCCCCCCACCAGACGACTCCCTGGAGGCCCTGGGATGAAACCCGGGGCCCCTCTATCCTCGCCCCACCCTTGCTCCCCATGCTAGTCCTTCCCTGGCTGGGGCAGCAGTAGATGGGCCAAGACTGGGCAGGGAGGTGTGTGTGGGTGTCTATTCTCAACTTCGGTCCCTTGAGTGAGAATCCGTCCCGGGCCTCAGGGAGCTCCCAGGGACAACAGGGGCCCAGGACAGCCCCACCCCACTTTCACTCAGACCCCACTCTAGCCAGGCCCTTGGCCATGGGCATTATCTTCCCCTAGTTCTCCCACCACACCTCCTGCCCCCCCCCCCCCCCCCAGCCAAGACGCCACCCATCTGCCCCTCCGTGTCGGGCTGCTGCCCAGTTCAAGCCTGGCCGACACAGCCGGGATCTAGTGCCAAGTCCCTCCCTTTTCCCTTCCCTGACTCGGTCTGATTCATCATCTGGGACCAAGTGCTATTGTACAGATGGGGAAACTGAGGCTCGGCATGGGAGAGTGCCGAAGCAAGCAGTGGCAGAGTGCCTGCCTTCTGGATTTTCTAAGGCCACCCTTCCCTGCTACGCTGGACACTACTCTTTGAAGACAGATTTCTTGACCTTTAATAACTTAAAAAGCAGGAAGAGGCAACTCAGGGCCCTCCTCAGACTCTCCCTTCTCGACCTCCTCCCAGAGCTGCTGCTACCTGTAGTCTCAGCAGTGAGGGCTCAGGGTGCAACCTGGACAGTAACCAGGGCTCCTTAGGGATGACAGTGGCCAGATAGTGGCGGAAGAAGCAACTTGGATAAGGACTCATCAAAGCCAGGCCTGTTGGGGGGAGCCCACCCCAGACCCCTGGGCCCTGGTCCAGCCTGCTCCCCTTCACAGAATGCCCTCCGGTGCCCAAGCTTTCCATGTGCGGGTCTGGACTCAGGGCCCAGGTGAGGCCTTGCCAAGGCCCTCTGGCTCTAGCCGAGGACGAGCAGTTAGCCTGTGGGGTAGTGCTGCCCCAGTGACTCCATGCACATGGCAGCCCCCCCCTCCCCCCCGCTAGGCCAGCACCATCCTCATCTCCTGAGGGGCCAAGAACCCCGGGACCAGGCACTGTGACTGCACTTCTTTGAGAAGACACACAGATGCCGCCTGAGTCCGGAGCTGGCAGCCCTTCAGCAAGGCACAGCTGCCCCCTAGCTTGGCGCCTTCCGTGCAGGGCCCACCAGCTGTGCCCGCCTCCCCAGCCAGATGTGCCAGTTCCCTGAGGCTGCAGATGCCCCTCCCCAGGTGGCTGTGCCAGCTGTAGCCACACACCCCGCCCTGAAGGCCAGCCCAGCCAGGCTAAGATGCAGGGCCAGAGGAGTGGTCAGGCACTCCGGCTGCCAGAGGGTTTCATGCCCTCACAGCCCGGCCCCCAAGCCAGGCTGGGGGAAAGCCAGGTGCCAGGGACACCTGCCCCGGCGCTCATCCAGGTCAGAGCTTCTACACCTGGGGGGTGCCCCACCTCATGGCCAAGAAGTCACTGCCTCCCTAACCTGCCCAGCGCCTCCCTGGAGGCCCCAGGATGAAACCTACACTCCATCTGCACCCCCAACTCCCACGACAATCAGTCCACCACCAGGCTGCGGTGGGTGGGCTGGGTCTGAGCAAGGGGCACAGACTCATGACTTCCAGGCTCCTCCTTTTGGGGACTGGGGTGTGTAGTCCAGTCTCCTCTGTGCTTATTCCCCTCTCCTTCCTGGGAAACAGGCCCAGAGAGGGCGGGGGACCGGCCCAAGGTCACACAGGAGTTTGGACTGGAACTGTGATGCCCCCCCCCAAACACCCGCTTGGCCCAGGAGCCCCAATCCCCAGGCAGGGCGGCTCCAGCGCCCACGTGGCCCAAGGCCCAGGCGGGAATCCGACCTCCCCCTTCCCCGTCACCCAGTCCGAGGGCGGCGCCGTCAAAGCTCAGGGGAGCGCCCCCCTCCACCAGTACCCAGCGAGACCTCAGCCTCCCGAGCCCAAGGCCCCCACCCCAGGAATTTAACCCCCTCCCCACCGAGGGCCGCACCAGAGCGCAGCAAGCGGGGCCCACGGGGCCCCAGAAGGGGGTCGGGAGACTCGGCGAGGGGGGAGATCCCTCTAACCCTTCCACCCCGAGTCAGCGGGCCGCGCGCTCGGGAGGGCAGAGCGGGCAGGTGGGCGGATAAGCGGGGGGACAGGCAGGGCCTTGCATACCATGGTGCCGTGGCGCTGGGGGCTCACAGGGCCCCGCGGGATCGCGCTGCCCCCGGCGGCCAGGCCGGGGCCGCTCCATGAAGCGCCGCGCTGGGGGCCGCCCCCGCGCAGGGCCCCGCGACCATGGCCCCCGGGGGCGCGGCCGGGCGGGCGGAGGCGCAGGGCCGCAGCGAGTCCAGCAGCCGAGCAGCTGCGGCCCCAGAGCCTCGGGCGCGGCGGGCGGGGGGCGCGGGGCGCCGATTGGAGCCCGCGCGTCAGCTGGGGCCGCCGTCTGGACGCTTAAAGGGCCAGGCAGCCCTGCGTGCCGGCGCGGGGCATGGACACGCGTGGTGTACTCCGTCCCGGAGCTGCCCGCTCTGCCTCGGGCCGCTGGTCCCTGCAGCCAGGCCCCGTGCCGCCCATCCTAGCGGATGGACCCCGGCCTCACTCTCCCGCGCTGAGCCCCCTTTCCGCCGCCGGGTTGTTAGTCCCAGAGCGCAACTTCGGTGCCCTCCAGCTGCGCCACAGAGGCGGGGTCGGAGTAGGAGGCGGCCCTGAGATCTAGAGGCTGGGCGCGCCCGCCCCCCAACCAGCTGCAGAAAAGGCTTCCACCTGCTCCCCCGAGCGATCCCACGCTGAGGACCAGATCCAGCACCCTAGCCGCGCTCACCACCCCCACCCTCTGCCCTGGGCTGCTCTGAGGGTGAGTCTGGAATCTCCAACCAGCCGGGCCCCTCACCACGACCCCAGGGCAGCCGAGGGCTCGTTTTGCTCTCTGCTTCTAGGACGTGGTTCTGGTGGGCCCGTACCTACCTGATGGCCTCCTCTGGCTGCCCAGGTCCGTCCACCCAGGGCAGGGGATAACAAGAACAGTACCACAGGCTCAGGAGGAGAGACTCGAGGAGTGGGGGCCAGAGGCCCAGGCCCCACTGCGCCTGCAGCCCTGGGACCTGACGGCTGCTCAGCTTCCTCCCTCAGTCCCTGCTGGGGAGATGAAGCCAGGCCTGCGGAATGCTGCTCTGGCACGGACGCCAGTGGGGGCAGGGGGCTGGCTGTGCTGGCGGGAGGCTACAGAGGAAGGCTGCCAGGCTGAGCCGGCAGCAGGGTGGGGACCACCGGTCTGCCAGGCACTGGGCCTGGCAGGGCCCAGGTGGTGGCTGGGCCACTTGCAGAGGGGCCTCTGTGGGCCTCTCATGTGGCCATGTCATTATTCAGATGCACCCTCCACCCCCCCAAGTTGACTGTGGCCCCACATCCTGTCACCATCCCAGTGCCCATCCTGGCAGTGCCACTCGGCCCCTCCCCCCTCCGTCCACGCCCTGGTGCTCACACATGGGCCACAGGAGTAGCCCCTGAGTGTGCCACCTGACTCTCGAGTGGGCAGGGACTCTGGGGCCTGTTCAGAGTGACTTGCTTCCAAGTGCCAGGGGAAAATGAGGCAGGGGCCATGAGCCCGGGAAGGCACCAACCTACCACCTGGTGGTCTGTCCTGCAAGATTGAATGGGCCTCCCCTAAAGCCAGAATGGGGAGGCCGTTACGACTCCACCGTCTCCGAGCAGGGCAGAAGAACACCTCAGGGACAAAGACAGGTGCCTGGGGGAAGGGAAGAAATGCACCAGCCGGAAGGAGGGTCAGGAGAGACCCTGGTGGAAAAAGAGATGGCGAGAGAGGAAGGGGCATGGATGGGGGCATGTCCCCAGAGGCAGCTGCTGCAGACATTTTGCTCTTCTGTGGCCATGGTAGGGGCAGACCAGCTCCCACAGGCCTCCGGCTACAGTCAGGCCACAGCGGCTTCCGTGCCACTCTAGCCTGTCACCTCAGGGCTGCCTTCTGCCTCTTCCTCCCAGCGACCCACCTCCTCATCTGACTCAGTGGGTCCCTGCCCCAGCCTGAGAGGTGGCAAGGGAGGGGTTGTGTGGCCTTTGGCTGGATGAGGACAGTGAGACCCAAAGCAGGACAAATCGCACAGCCCAGCACCAGCATCAGGAGCCAAGGAAAGGCAAGGCTGGGAGAGGGGGGCCTCCCCCACAGCTGGGGGGAGCCGGGCAGAGAGGACGGCAGGGCCAATCCTGGGCCCACTTCCCAGTCATGGCTTGGTGGGCCAGCGTGACCAAGGTAGGGCTTTGGGATTGGCCTTGGTTGCAGCAGTCAAACCAAAGGAGGGGCTGGAGGCTGGGTGAGGAGGGAATGGTAAGATCTCCACAAAGACCCCAGCTGTTCTTGCTTCTCTGGCCTACCACCCATCGGCAGGAGTCCCTGGGCAGAGCTGGGCTCTCTGTGAAGCTGCTGGCTCTTGGGGCACACTAGAGCTGGCAGGAAGAGGCTGTTGGAGGAGCCACTCAGAGCTGAGGCCTGCAAGCTGAGTGAACATCAGCTAGAACAGAGGGAGGGAAAGGATGCTCTAGGCAGGCAGAGCACCAGGAGGCAGGATGCAGGAGGCAGTTTAGCATCTGCAGGAACTAGAGGCGCTGTGAAGTCACGGGGTCCAAATTCTAGTTGGGCAGGAGTGCCGGCTGCATGGAGTGCTCTCTGGGCCTTGGCAGGGGCCCTGCCAAGGAGCTTCACTGCAGGCCTGGTCAAGGCCAAGGTGGGCTTTCTGGAGGGGGCAGGGTGAGACTGGGTTCCTGGGGAGGAGGATCCTGGGCCAGAATGGCATGCCCCGCAGGAAGCCAGGAGTTTGTGGAGACAAGGGTGAGCTTAAGGAGCCTTCAGACACCTGGGGCTGGGTCGGCAAGATCAGCAGCCAAGCCCCTGCCTCCAGAGGCCAGCCCGCGGTTTCCTCCCCACTTCCGCAAGCATCCAGCCCCGAGTGGCTCTCCTGTGTCAGGGACCAAACCAGCAGCCCTGGGCTTGGTTGGGGAAACCGGACTCACCCTTACTGAACCTGGAAAGATGGGGGAGGGTGCCCCCCCCCATGTGTGGCTGCGTGGCCATGCAGGCTCGGCGCCCCCTGGGCACCTCGGAGCTGTGCACCTGCTGTGGCTGAGGTGGGGGAAGTCGGGAGAGCAGAGCGGTCACTGGGGCTGGCACTTCAGCCCCGGCCATCCAGGGCCTTCCACAACTAAAATCTACCACCAGACCCTCTGAGAAAGGAGCACACCGACCTCCATGCCTCTGGCTTCATTTCATTTCGAAGATACAAAGTATCTCTATGAGCAACTATTCTGTGGCACCGTCCCTAAGGGTTTGGGGCCAGAGCCAGACTGCCTGGGTTCAAGTTCTGCCCTGCTGTTTCCTAAAGTTGGGGAACTTTCAGAGAAATTGCTTGGATTTTTAGAATTCAGCTCCTTCTCTGAAGAACTGGGATGGAGGCCTCCTCCCTCCTAGAACGGGATTAAATGCTTAGAGCCAGGCCCAGAGCCAAGCGGTTCGGGAGGCTAGTCCCAGGCCTGCCTCCAGGAGAGGAGGCCCACGGTTCCACGCAGAGGGCCAGGCTCAGTCACTAATGAGAGGTCTGGGGTCCCTTGTCCCAGGGTGGAGAGAACTCCAAGCACAGCGAGGAAGGCCTCGGATGCCAAGGCCATGACGCCCGTGCTGCAGGGGGAACAGGCAACCTGCTGGTTTGAATTAGGTCCCCACCCGCCAACAGCTGTAGCCTGTTAGTGCCGAGCTCTGAGGCGGCAGAACCTAAGCAACACCCCTCCAGCCCCCCACCCAGAGACCTAGCTCCCCTACCCTGCAGGGCCCTGGGTCAGCTGGGGTTGCCCCAGCCACCCACCAACAGGGAGGGAGAGGCAGGAGCAAGAAAGCACTGCCTTTTTCTACTGGAACCCTAAAAAACCCCAGACCTTTCAGGCCTCCCGGCCCTTGGTGTCGGCTTCTTGCCTCGCCCTCACCTGGCACTGACCTGAGCTGCCCAATCTGTCCGAGGCCAACAGCTACTGTCCCCTGAGAAGCTGCTGCCTTCACAGCATCAGAGGAAGGCTCCCCGCTGAGCGGGAGCCCCGTAGCACCCCTCCCAGCCCCTCCCAGCCCCAGTTCCTCAGGGGACTTCGGGCTCTGGCTGTCACTGTGGGCAGCAGCCCAAGTGGGTGCCCTCGCCCAGGCCCCTCGCCTGGTCAGGGGCTTATCTGCAGGCTTCCCACTGCACCGAGTGGGCTCTTTTCCTTTTTCGTGGCACGGTGGCCCACAAGGGGAGTTTTCTTTGGATTGTCTTAGCTCCTGTTCGAGGGCCAGCTGATTCAGAACAGTCAAGACCAAAGCTCCCCACGCCTTTCCCCCCATCCCGCCCTGCAGATGAAGACACCCACCACCGGAATGAGAGTCGAGATCCCAGTGCTCCCTAGAAAACGAGACCCTGAAGAAACCTCACTTGGGGATTTTCCACGGCAGACTTGCAAATTTTCTTGCAAGTTTAAAAGTTTAAAGCAACATATCCAGATTGGACTGTTGTCAGGGGCCTCCCGACTTGAGGGGCGGTCTACTGTGGACAGAATTTTGAAAACAGAATCTCTGCAAGCCTTACTGCAAGAGGTTGTGTTGTATTCACCAAGCAAATACAAATTCCTTGGAGTCTGGAGGAGAAAAAAGCTAATTGTACTTGCTCCAAAGATTCTCCCGTGGCTGCTTAAAATATCCCCATGTTTCCTCCAGGAGTGCGTGCCGTGTGCCTGGCTCGAGAGCCGTGGGGACGCAGGTGCACGGCTGCGCAGGTGGGTTAGCAGGGTACCGCCGTCCCCAGGCAGCCACTTGCGGGTGGAATGGCACACACATCTGCGTGTGGTTGCAGCCGGTGGCCACAGCAAAGCCCAGAGCCACTCTGGAGTCCCCAGCGGGGGCGCCAAGCACCACTGGACCTTCTCAGGAGAGGAGCGGCGGAGGCCTGAAGTTCTTGGCTATGGACGAAAAGGAGCCTCAGAGGTGGCTGGCAGAGGGGCCCAGTCCTGCCGCCCCCTCTCCCCCCCCCCCCCAGGAGGACTAGTCCGGTCTGCGTGGGGAAAGAAGGATGAAGCAGGCACACGCACAGGCACAGGCTTAGACTAAGTATATGTTTTAATTTCTACAAGGCACCCCTTTCAAGTTTTAGGGGAATTTAAATGAAGTGTATACAAATTAGACATTGCTGATATGTACAAAAGTTCTTCTAGTTTTTAAACACCAGCTATATCATGTTGCATTTGCAGTAAACAGGACGTTACAAAAACAGCCCAATAATGCATTTTCTATTAAGAAGCACAGTACGCAACATAATTCAATTTCATTAAAAATTACCTTAAATACAGAATAATCTTGTTAGGAAGAAAAGCCGTCTCTGTCGTCCATTCGGTAAACACGCTGAGCGCTGCGGCTGAGCGCCGCTCTCGTCCACAGAGACAGCCACCGAGGCTTCTGGGGCCCACCTGCCCGGCCCCAGTGGGCAAAGGGACTGCCCGCGGAAGGCAGACTTCTGATTCCATGCCCCAACCCAGGAACCTGTGCCTAGGGGATCACTCCTGTGTGATACGCTCTATGACCGTGAACTAGGGGGACTGCCTCAGTGGGCTCGATGGAATCGCATGAACCTTCAAACAGGAGGAAGGAGATCGGAGGCACGAGGACTCGCTGGGCCATCGCTGGTCTGCAGACGAGAGGAGCGCACGAAGAGGAGCCGGAGCCACCTCCAGGAGCCGAGAGAAAGGCCCCCACCAGGGGCAGAATAGTGCCAGCCGCCTGAATGAACCTGGAAGCAGCTCCTTCCCCAGAGCCCCCGGTGAGGGAAACGCTACCCTGCGGACCCTCGGTCTCTGCCCTGTGGGGCCCCAGCAGAGTCCAGCCATACCGAGCCAGACTCACGAGATACAGAACTGTGAGCTAAGAAATGGGTACTGTTTTAAGCCGCTAAGTTTGTAGTAGTTACTCACAAAGCAACAGAACACCTATCCACTGCCCAACAGTAACTTTTCTTAACATAATGAGATTTGGCAGTTTTTGTTTGGGTTCTGAATACCGATTTTTCCCAGAGTATTATTAAAGCAATATTCTCCACTGCAGGCAACTTCTGAAAACCGTTCATACGAATCACAATGTTTCGTATTCACCAGTGAGTACGGCTGTTTGACTATGGTCTTGTTTTCTGATGCAGTCCCCTCTGTCAACCTGGCAAACAACTGACCCCTTGACCCTGTTTAAGAACCGTTTCTGGGTAACGGTTTGAACACATCCAAGACCATCCATCCCTCTACCGAGGTGCCCCCCTCCTTCCCAAGCACACCGGGCGCGGCCTGGGTAGGGTGGCACCACATTCTGCCCGAAACACCCAGTGTGAATTTCTTCTGCGTGACTGGACTAAACTGGCACTAAGGTGATAAGTACACTTGGGGGAACACCAACTAGATTAAAAAAAAAACCACACCGGCTTTTGCAGACCACACATTTTTTGGAGGAACCACCCGGAACCGTGAAAACGTGCAGTTTACGCTGTTCCATTCACCTCTCTCCCTTTGTCCTGGGCTTACCCGTCATGCAAGGCCCCACCGAGCCGGCATGGGTCACGGTGCAAACTCGGAGAGCAGCTGGCGCTGAGGCCCGCTCGGCTACCGCTGTCGTCTACTTCCTGACTCAAAAGACCTGCGAAGTGCCTAGGATGGAGGCAGCTAGGTTTCGCCGCCACTCTGGAAGTCCGTTCCTCCATCCACTCTTCCAGGGGCTCACAGGCCAGCTGTGTGCAGGAGGCCTGCGTGGCCACACGGTCCCCTCTGCCAATCCTGCTGGTCCAGGAGACCCCCCACAGGCCACACCTGTGGCTTGAGAGAACCCCTCCAAAAATTCAAAGTGAATACAGCTCAGAAGGAACCATGTTTTGTGCCGGTGAATAAAAAAATCAACTTCTCTCTCTCACGAGACTGTAATGTATAGTAGAGGAGAACAATGCTTAAAGGGGCACCGAAAAGCACCAAGCACCGGAGGGTGAACTGGAACGGAATTGTTTTTACAGTCGAAACTTCTGACCGTATTGGTCAGAAAGCATGTGAAACAGGAGGCCCTTGGAGACAGTGCAGGGACGTGGAGTTAAGGCTGGTTTACTCTTCTCACCCTCGCCCGCCAGCTGGAAGTCGTACAGACAGCAGGCTGTACGAGGACCCCTTTACTGGTCCTTAGAGACGACAGAGGAAGGAGTGTGGAGAGTCCAGCGCCACCGCCCCTACTCCGGCTGCCAGCAGTGCGCATCTGGGTGGTGTGTCTCTGAGAGCAGGGTACTGGGCTCTGAAATGGGTATGTGGGCACCTGGCCGCCTTCAACAGCTCTCCACAGGTCTGTGCTCGGCAGCACAGATACCAAAACTGGAAAATGGGCAGGACGGATCTGTATTCTAAGGAATACGTGAATGGAGAGAAATAGTCTATCCAAAGTAATATTGCAAATTATATGAAGAGTTCATGGTTTCTTGATTCAAGAAAATGAAATTTCACTTCCATAGCTGGCTACTGTAAAATGTGGCATAAAAATATTTTTAGGAGACATATCTGTACTTTAAATTCTGCACACAAAGAACGAGTAACAAGAAGTGTCTACTTTTGAAATTCATCTCTAATATTGAAATAGAACGACAGACTGCCATTACGTTTCTTACACTTTTAAGTTACCAGGTATTTACAAAGAAGATATAATCTGTATCAAAAAAGGGGACATTTTCAACTATATCTGCTGCTTTCACTGGGACTCCGGCGATGAGAGTAACTCCGGTCACTTTCGCTGTCAGAGCCATAAGATCTACAACTCCTGTGCGACAAAACAAAACAAACATACAACACACTTTAGCCATCAACCCTCTGAACTCCTCTGGTGGCTTCCCTTTTCACCAGACTGGCTGAAAGCCCTACTGAGGTGGCATCCGGCATGATGGGTGGACGGGGGCAGGGGGCTGCTGGCTGTGGTAACACTGCGGACTTTTCAGAGATGCTTCACATGGCAGAGAGCAGTAATAGCACGGTTAAGATAAAGAAACATCACATCTTGGAAAGTTACTTGAAATCCACTCATGCAAATAAGCAGAATAATTTTCCGTATTACCCAAATGAACATCAATACTTAGTTAGACTGAGGAGTGAGGAAGTAAGGGGAAAAGGCGCAGGAAGAGCGTTTCGTTACAGATATGGAAATCAAAATGGTGCCCAATGGGGGCGACAGGGCGGCACAGAAGGAAGGAGCACTGGACAGGGAGTCAAGAGGGAACTGGCCATTTCAAGAGGCAGGAGGGGCGTCTCTCAGCAGAAGAAAAGCTTCCCGCACATTGAAGCAGGGAGACAGAAAGGCCTGGGCTGTAGCTGCAGGTGGGAAGGCCTTAGGGCAACGCTAAGGAGCCTGGCCCTGCCCGGGAGGGCAATGTGGACAGAGCCCTTGAAGCGTTTAGGACAAGGAAGTGTCCAGATAGCAATGACCTTCTACAAGGGTCACTGGTTGTCCCTGTAGGGGATGAGGGAAGGGTAAGGCTGAAAGCCACCAGGAAAGGGACAAAGTAAAGTCACCACAAAAACTTGCAGTATTGGGCAAAATGTTACATAAAACATGATATTGATAAATAAATAAAAAGCTATTTCCCCCAAATAAGTGTCGAGATATGAAATTTAATTCTACTGCTGAAGCAAATGACTATATCTTACTATATAATTTTTAATTAAAAAATTAACAAACTTGCCTTGCTATTTCTAGCAATGAGTCCCCTTTTAAAAAGTGGGCCTTGGTTTGGGTGGCCTTCTCTCTTTATTCCTCCCGAGAAATACATCTGTCCAAAGACATGTGGCTATCTAAAAACCCATTTCAGATCCAAACGTCCACAATGACCCGCAAACATTACCCAGCACCTTCAACACGAAGGCCACGTCTGCGGCTGCCTGTGGGCTGCTGAAGTTCAAGAAGAGAGAAGGGGATTTCTGTCCTAAGATCATTACGTTGTCTCTTCTGAGTCTGCGGCCTCGCAGGCCGGGCTGCAGGGAGAGACCCACCTGGATCGCCTGTTGTAGCTCCTGCCTCGGTGGTAACTGTCGCTCCTCTGACTTCTGCTGCGACTCCGACTCCTGCTGTCGTAGCTGTCGTAGGTGTAGGACCTGCTTTGACAGCGACAGCGAACACTAAGGTTTCCTATTCAAAAGTTCACCTGTTCCCACCCAACTTCAGGACCTTAAGAGAGGTCTCTGAGACCGTGGATGCGGTGTGACGGTGAGACACGTTCACATGACAAGTACCAGAAACGTTCAACAACCACCCCAGACCAGACGTGCTGCGCCAAACGGAAAAACATCACAGAATTAACACTGAGCTGGTTGGGTCAGGTCTGGCGGACACTGCACATTGTGCTCAGTGACGCCTGCACCTACAGCCTGACAGTGATTGTGCCTTCTGACCCTGGGGTGGAACCAGCCACCAGGAAAAACTGTCAGAAAGACCTCGTTTGGAAAGGGTGTGATTTCACGAGACAAACGCCATGTGTTTAGGTTCCTCAACAAAATACAACACATTTAAAGGGAATGAGGGTTTTATAAAACAAGGCCTCTCGTTCCGCCCCTGTAGGGCCCACCCCCATGCGTACCTGGACCGACTGTGGGGGTCATACGAGCTGCTCCTGGACCTGCTCCTGCTGGACGTCCTAGTATGAATCACATGAGGGACCATCACCGTGTGCGGCAGGGCAGCTACACCAAAAACCTGGACATTCATTTGCCCGTCAAGGAGAAAACAACGAAGTCCGGCAGCTGTTCGTCTTTATATGGAAAGTGTGTCGAGTTTTTAAAACAGCAGGTTGGATCTCATAAGGGGGCCTGAGTTTTATGCTCTTCTCTTCTGAGCACCCTAAAGAAGGTCCCTGGGGAGGCTCTAACTGGGTGCGGGGGGGGGAGGGAGGCTCTAACTGGGTGCAGGGGGGGAGGCTCTAACTGGGTGCGGGGGGAGAGGTTCAAGGCCTGCCCGGGCAAGACGCTACCTTGTAAGTAAAATGAAGCTGTAGTTGTGCAAAATACCTAAAAGGCAAATGAGGGCTTGAAGAATCTGTGAGAACTAGAAATCTGGGATTACCCTTACCCCACTTCTTTATTTGGTCCCCCTTTAAAATGCCTCCTATCCTGTCCTGGCTGGTGTGGCTCAGTGGATTGAGCACAGGCCTATGAACCAAAGGGTTGCTGGTCTGATTCCCAGTCAGGGCACATGCCTAGGTTGCAGGCCAGGTCCCCAGGTGGCGCATTTGAGAGGTGACCAACTGATGTTATTTCTCTCACATTGATGTTTCTCTCCCTCCTCTTCTCCCTTCCCTTCTCTCTGTAAAATCTTTTTTTTTTAAAGGAGGCTTACAGTTGTAATACAAATAATACAAAAATAAATAAATAATAATATAAGAATAAGCTGTTGTCTGTACTCAGAACTATAAACCTACTTTGGAAAAAAAAATAAGAACAACCCAAACCCTTCCTATCCCAATCTCTAACCCAAGTCGAGAGGTGAATGCGGATGTGAACTCAGGTTAAGGAAGACGTACGCTGGGAGTGGGAGGAGGCAGAGACATAACGGGCAGGGCCGCTCTTAAATATCTCTGCTGCTTGTCCTTCCTCATTCTGGGAAGATCCCATCCCAAGAACAGCCAGTGAGAACCTGACTGCTCCTTGAGACAGAGACCTGGCTGGGACAAGGGGCCTGACTGGTACTGAGCAATGACAGGCCTGGATGGCAGCCAGGATGAGACAGAGTGCGGGACCCACGAGCTCACCTGTGACTTTTGTAACTGCGGGAGGAACTGCTCCGGCTTCTCGTTCGGCCCCTGCTGTACCACCCTCTGCTCCGACTTCGAGAATAGCTTCTTGATCTGCAATTAGGAGTGTAAAACTACCATTGTATTAACCCCCGCGCTGTTACAATTAAATTACTTACAGGGCAGGCAGGGAAACCACAGTAAGAGGACAGGGCGTTGGAAAGGTCTCTCGGGAGCTCCTCGCAGTGTGGGTGTGATGGTGACAGCTGACAGGGGTTCAAACTGAACAGAATGACACGTGGGAAAGCCAGGAAATGCTGCTACAGGTATGCGTACAGAAGCCCTACCAGTAACACCAGAAGAGAGAGTCCAAGCCAATCTCAGAGATTGGCAGAATGGGTTAAAACACTCACTCACAGCTATATACTGAAATATTCTAAAGCAGGAAAATGAATGAGCTATAGCCTCGTGTATTAGCTGAGGTATCTCTTTGGAACGTAATATTGAGTGAAAAAGGCAAAGGTAGAACATCTCTATATAAAAGGATTTTGTTTGAAAACGTGCAAAAGCAACACTGTCTAAGGATAGAAACATGTGAGGAAAGACCACACAGAAAAGCACCAGACCTGTACCGACAGTTCGGAGTGAGGTCGGGGAGGGAAGAGAGAAAGCAGAGCAGCAGTGCGTAGGGCCACACCAGGGACCTCAAAGCTCTACCAAGGTTCGATGGCATTTTAAATTACGCTTTACACCTTAATCATGTATTTTATATCTATTTAACCTTTAATCAAACAAAAAAGGTAACGCAATCCTGCCCTCCGCACTCCTGCTCTTCCCCCCACTTCATGCCTGTCACTCAGGATAGGGACCGTAACCCTCCATTCGGCCTTTAACACATTGTGTTCTAGTGAGATTCTAGTTGTTAACAAACAATCACAGAGCAGACTGGGCGGGGACTGTAAGACCAGCAGGAAACAGTCTGGATGAGCAGACATGCAGTCCATCCGAAATGTCCACGGGCATCTTCAGCTGATGCCAAGTGGTCCTGTCCACACTTAAAAAAAACATCCCGGTTCAGATAACTCATTTACTGCCATTTTTACTTAATACATAAATAAAAAATCCATCATGTTTCAGTGCTCCAATAACTGTGGTGTGGCTGTATTGCCAACGACAGCCCCGCTCTCGCCTTGGTGGCCTAGGTGGTGACAGCACTTGGGGCCAGGCAGGGAGATCGGTTGGCATGGATCGGTCTCTGTCGGGGTCTCAGGTGGAGTCAAGATGGTCTCTGCAAGGTAGTCCCTCACTTCATCGAGTTCACAGCCTAGTACGGGAGTCAGACCCAGGCGGGGAACCAGATCAGGGAGGCAGAGTTTAGCTACCTCAGTCTACTACCTTGGCTGAACGGCGTAGAGCAAACTGCTTAGCCTCACTATGCCGGTCTTCATTTATAAGATGAAACACCAGCCACCCGAAAGGCAGTCGTCGGAAGGTACTAAATGAGAGTGGCCAGCATCACCAACGGCTGAGACCCATCAGTGAGCAAATGGGAAGGCAGACATTGAGCAGAGCGGAGGCTGGAGCAGCTCGACAGGTAACTGTACCCAGAAACATGAAACGCCGGGATTCATCAGCTGTCTGGGCCTGCTGGGAGTCGGGGAAGGAGGAGGGAGAGGAGTCCACAGCACAAACGCAGAATGGGGTGAGAGGGGTGAGGAGCGTTAGCAGAGGGCTTCCAGAAGGCAAGGACCGAAAACCTCAGTCTACTGAGGTGGGGGAGGGAAGGCACAGAAGACAGACGGCGAGCAACTGAGGAGTAAATGGGAGGCAGGTACTACAGGTGGCCAGTGTTGTTTCCTGTTTTTAAAGGAATCTGGGTAAGGAGAAAGACTGACAAGTAACCAGAAAGGGAAACAAAAACACTCAAAGACTATTACTGTACTTTAGGTTCAAGTGATGAAAATCAAGCACAAAATAATAAGACACGTGAGTAATTAAGAGACAGTGAGGTAAAACCAAGAGATATTTATAACACAAAGAATATGAACTACTATGAATAAGCATATGAATTACTCCTATCCCCATCACCACTTCTTTTTTAGTTAAACTTTCAGGCCATGCCAGTGACACGAGTTAGCTGCAACTTGAACTGGAAATAAATAAACCTAAAGATGACGGTTTTGACCGTCCCGCCAACCCCATCCCCGCCTTGAATAAAGATCATGGAATTGGGCAGAAAAGGCAAAGGGATTAAGAGGCACAGTCTGGTAATTAAAACAGTCACGAGGATGTACAGTACAGCGCAGGGCATACAACCAATAATATTCTAGTAACCATGTACGAGGCCAGGTAGGGACTGGAAGTACCAGGGGAGCACTTTGTAAAGCCCACGACTATCTAACCACTGTGCTGTCCACCTGAAACTAATACAAAACAATACTGAATGTAAACTATAATTGAAAAAGAGAATCAGAAAGAGCTCATCTAGATGCTCGCCATGAGCAGGCAGCTTGGTCTCTATGGTCCTCCGCTCCCTCTTTGTGGGGGGTTGGGCTGAGGGTCTCTAAATCCTCTCCATCCTGTCACTTGCCACCTCCCAAGGCAACCGATTCTGCTGCCAGAGAGCTTCAACAGAAGTGATGGCTTTTTACACTGAGCCCCAACTTCTTCCCTGAAATCCGCTCCATGTCCTCAATCTGCTCTCTGAGTCAGCCGGCACAAGACTTCTCCTTATTCACCTCCCAGATATTTGGAAATAGTGATCTTGTCCCTAATTCTGGTGTCCTTCCAAGCTAAACAGTAACAGACTCTCTTTGGGAGAAAAAAAGGAAAGAGAATAATATTGCTCACCGATAAGATGATGTGGAACTTCGCGATCGACTTCTTGAATGACTGTAGGAGACAGACCTTGTTCTGTGTCTTGACTTGGTTTCGGATTTACTCCGAGACCGACTTGGACTCCGGGACTGGCTATCGCCGTCCCGACTAGGTGTCTGCTCATCACTTGAACTCTCCTGGTTCCTTGGCCTCCGGTTTAAGCGTGCCGTCTTTCTTACTTCATCAAAGAGAGACCCAGGCCGCACTTTATTTTTGCTTTTAATTTCGATTCTCAAGCCCTGCGGCTTCACTTCAGGCAAAGCAGTCAACGCTTTGCCTTCCATGGCACTGGATGTGACAGCTGCTGGTGCCACCAGGTGGCCTGCCCCTTGTAGGGGCTTCCACTTATTGTCCAGGAGGCCGAGCTGGCCCCTCTCGGCCACCTCCTTCCTCGCCGTGCTTTCCACGGTGCTGGCCGAGCCCGCAGACCCGCTGTCCACTTTCCCCACCTCGACCACCACGGGGCCTTCAGCCACGTCGCTGTCCTGGGTCTGCGCCTCTGCCTGGGGATGCTCAGCCTGCACTTCCTGCTTCACCAGGCCTGCCTCGGGCACATCGAGCCTCGAACTTTCGAGAGGGGACGACCCCTCCACCTTTGCTGGGGAGCTCCTATCAGGAGTGCAAATCTCCATGTTGTCGTCAGCTTGGAACACATCCTCCAGTCCGCTGGGGACGCTTTCTTCGACAGGCTGAGCGGGTGGGGGCGAACTGGCCACCTCCTCCTCAGCACCTGCAGGTGTGGGAGAGGTGCTGAGTTTACCATCTTCGCTGGCCAGTGGCTCGGCACCTGAGGTCGCCGTCGTTGTCTTCGGTTTACCTGAAAGGCTGCCATCTTCACGGGGCTTCTCAGTTTGGGGGATATTTTCTTTTGTGGTTTCACTGTTTTCAGAAACTTGTTTTTTCTCTTGGGACTCCTGAGTCACTTGCTTTTCACTAACCTCCTCCTCCTCCTCTTCCCCGAACTCTAGTGGAGGCTGCCAGTGGAAGGCCTGTTTTCGCTTCGGAGCCTTGTGCTTTTTGTCTTTCTTGCCCTTCATTTTCTCTTTCACTTTTTTGGTGTGCTCCCTTTTGAGGTTCTCCTTTGACCCATGTTTGCGCTTCCGCGGCTTCCCCCCGGGGTTTTCTGAATCGCGACAGGACCCCTCGGAGTCCGAGGCCGAGGGCCGCTGCCTGCCTGACTTCCGAGCACCGAGGCCATCACACCGCGGGGCACGTGCTGCAGACTGCGCTGCGGGTTTGGCTTTGGGGTGAGTTCCAACCAACTCGGACTCCGAATCTGATGTGGCCTCCCCCTCCTCCTTATCGGAAGTCGGCCGGGAGTTCCTCTGACTGTTTTTGGTTACGTCTCGTTCGGAATTGGACTCCGAGTCCCATTTGCTCCCAGCGTAATTCCTCCTTTTGGACTTACTGCCATTTCTGAAGTGATCGGCAGGACCCCCTTTCCGAGTTCTTTTTGAACAAGGGCCTTCCCGTTCAGGCTTGGATTTCCCTCCATCTCTGTTTTTCTCTTGTTTGTTATTCATTTCCACTTGGACTTGCTTCCCTTTTCCCTGGGCGGACTGTGTAACCTGGACACTTGACCGTTCACTGTCTGAAGAATAATCCAAAGATGACCTGCTTTCGCTATACTTTCTCTGGCATGAAGACTTGTCTCTGCCCTTCACATATTTATTGCGAAGTGTCTTTTCAGAGCTGCTGCTGTGCCTTTTATTTGAAGCGCTATTTTTTTTCCCACGGGACCTAAGTTTCCTCTTGGCTCGTCTTCCAGCATCACTGCTGACAGAAGAGTACGAAGATGATCGACTGTACTGTGAACGGTCACTGTATTTGTTTCGCGAATGCGATCTGGAGGAGGGAGACCTGGACCGCGAACGGGAACTAGCTGCGCTTCGTGACCTGGAGTACGACCTGGAGTACGACCTGCTCCTGGAGGATCTGCTTCTCGACCTTGGTGAACTTTCTGAACTTCTGTCACTGTATTTTGAATACGCACTCCGGTCACTTTCTGAGTTTTTTTCTCTTTTGTGGTAGGACGATGAACCACCAGTCTCTTTAATACTTGCTAAATTGTAAGTGCTTTGGATGGGCAGCAAATGGGTTGTTTTTGCTTTCATTTCCTGAATTCGCTCATAAGAGGGCTTCCAGGGCTTCTGTCCAGGCTTCCACCTCGAAGGAGGGGGACTGTCACTCAGAGGTATGACAGGAATATTTTCTGCCACCACTGGTGGCTGTACTATGACGCTTTCATTTTGTGGCACTGCTGCTCTTAAAGGTTCTGTTTTAACCGGTTTGTTTTCACTCAGCTGAGAGGCTGTTCTTCTTGGTGATTCTGATGCTGTCCGTTGGTGCCCTGACTTAGAACTAGACCTGGACTTCGATCTGCTTCGAGAAGGTGATGAGGATTTCGATGGCGTCCTTGATCTTGAGCTTCCTCTGGAATAAGACTGTGAGCGAGATTTTGATCTGTATGAGTCTCTGCTGGAATGAGTCGAAGAACTCTGGTCATCCTTATCAGATTTAGACCAGTCCCTCTTTGACGAGTGATGAGAGGTCAATGAGGAAGATCTCGACTTCCTTTCTCTATCACCAGAGGGTTTCATCCGTTGGGTGGAAGATTTTGAGGATTCTATATCAGACAGTACAATAATCCTTCTCTTCTTAGTCTGTTTGTGTCTCCTGCAATGCTTCTGCTTCTTAGCCTTCTTTTTATGTTTAACCTTCTTCTCTTTTCTGCGTTTTTTATGGTGACCATCAGAGTGTCTTGCTGTACTAAGGTCTGAATAATACCCATTGTAAGACCAGGATCTTGATCTCTGGGACAAGCTTCTTTCATCCCATCGGCTTGAACAGGGGTCACTTAACCTACAGAGAGAACATGATATGCACGCGTTACTTGCAAGCATGCTTTCTATCCTTTGAAATGAACATGCACATCCATTCACTGTCAATACAAACGCACAGATGAAGGGCTAGTTAACAGCAGAGTGCTGACTCCGTGGGCGCACGTAGGGAGGCCACGACCAGGAGTGTCGGCCTGGTCCAGTGCAGACATGTGAGCAACTAACTGCTCACAGAGCCACTTATAAAAGGACTTTCCCAAAGCTAAGCAGAGAATTATAAATTTGTTAGGAAAATGGTTTTGAGAACCAACCCAACTAACCACAAGGCCACGGCTGACACACTGAACTCCCGGCTGTGACCGGCTCCTAAGCCGCTGCCTCCAGGACGCTGTCCAGCCTCGTTCCCAGGCAGTTTCACTGATCCGGTACAGGATCGCTGCCTGAACTCTAGGAGAAACCCCTTTTGCTCAAGAAGCTAGCAAGACTGTTGCTTTATCTCAGCCTCACAAAGGTAATTGAAACCTTCCCCTAACCTTCAAACACTTACTATGGGAACTGAGGAAAAAGTACGCAAACGGAAGCAGGCTTCACAGCCTCACCGGTCACAGCCAGGCTAAAAACCCACAGTTCTCAGGACCACCGCGCCCGAGCCACTTCCGCACGGCAGGTGCGCACTTTTTCCTTCCTCTTCCAATTTCAAACATGCCACAGGACGCCCCCACGGACAAAGACAATTTTACCATGAACGACTACAGAGGATCCCATTGGTGTACTTTCACTTTTTAGTATATTTTCACCAGCTATTCCAAGGCCAGCCCGTTTCTAAAATAAATGTTCCACTGCAGGGCAACACTGAGGGTAAGAGATGGGCACACGTCTGAAGAAGGCACACTCCCCGGGGCCAGAAGTCACTGCACACACCGGGCACAGATTTTCCCGTCTGCCAATTCATTCATCAGTCAGTAACTGTGACACCTGGCCGTGAAAGACTTCCTGTTCAATTTCCTAAAATTGAACAAGAAGTCTTTAAGAGGTCCGGCAGGCTGAGAGTCTTGGGAGGGGAAAACAGCCTCCTGAGAATAGCGCTGGCTGCTCTCACCAAGTACCCCAATGTATTCTCAGGTCACACTCTCATTTTAAATTTAAATCTTTAGTGAAGAGTCCAAAAGCAGGTCTCTATCCCCTTACACTTCAAGCGCAGCGGCAGTGGGACTGTGGGCAGACGGAAAGCCCTTACTTATCTCCTTTGCTCCACTTCTCCCCGCTGGGTGGTCTGTAGGCTCTCAGTCTCTGCATCTCCTCCCTCCAGTGAGGGGGCGTCTCGCTGCTGTCGTCATCGTCTGACTCCGAACAGGACCTGGACCTCGGAGGTGTGTGATAGCGCTTTCAAAACAAAGACGGGAGTCACGGTTTCAAATGCCTCTCAGGTACAGACTGCTCCGGAACAGAGTTAGGGGTGAGACCCAACCTCAGACCCCGTTCAAAGATAGTAATGACCGAAGCACCGAAAGGATGATATGAAGTTATGCCAAACATAAGCAACTGGAAGAAATGGGGACGGGCTCAGATGTGCCTGCAATCACACACGAAGACTCCCTCTTCGAAGTCCAAACGGTTGCATGCATTAGCCTAGAGTATTCAGCACACTAAGATTTCTCAACACACTCACTGGCTGTCTGACATGGTCATCTCCTCCTTAAACCTACTCACACACGGCAGCACATTCTGATCTAACAGCAATTCCTCCCCAGGATTATGGACAACACAACTAGCTCCTTGCACAGATTTTGGATTACACCTAAAATCAAAGCTAGTGTTTTGCCTACAGGAAACACATTGTACTGCTTAAATAATTTGAAAAGAGAAAAGTCTTAACAAACATACAATTGTGCCCCTTCCTTTAATCTTCCGTCCAGACTTTGACACAGATGGTTTCTGATCACTTACAGTGGGTGTAGCATCAGGAATCTTCCTGGAAAAGGTGATTGAAGATTAAAAATAAGCAAATGCAGGCAGTTTTCTCAATGTTTACATGCAGAGTTTATGCTCCTATAACACAAAAACACTTCATTTAGATCCAACACTTAGGTAGAATGAGGTACTCCACATGACCCAATTTTCTAACCCTTCAAATGCCAAAACTGGAAGAAAAAAAAAAAGTAACCCAACTGGGAAGAAATACATGATACTAGTATTTGTCTTTTAAGCACAATACTATTTTTAAACAAAATCCTCTTTTAGAAGTCTCTTGTCAGAACAGTAATGTTCTAAGGGAATTCTGAATTATCTCTGACTCATGCTTAATTGTGCCTTTTTAGTCGGTTTTTCTTCTACTTTATATTTTTTATAGTGTATTTGCCTCCATCTCTACTATTAACTGCTCCTCCTTCAATGCTCTGAATCTGCTGCCTTATCTTACAGGCAGCTTTAAGAGGACAGATTTTGTGGTGGCTACAGTTCCCTGTGCATGAGAAGTTTATTCATACCTGCTTGTTTTGTTATGTTCTTATTAACAGAATGGCTAGCTTTTACTGAGTGCTTCCTATGTGTCAGGCATTATGTTAATGAGCATTTTTAAATATGTTTTTTACTGGGTTTTTGTATTTCTCATACACAGTATATATATATACTGTGTCACACTAGAACTGGTCATTTCAAGTGTCCAACTCAGTGGCATTAATCATATTCACAGTGGTGTGCTGATGGCGCTATCTTTCTGAAACTTTTTCATCGTCCCAAATCAAAACTCTGCCCATTAAGCATGAATTCTCTGGTGCCACCATTCCCTCAGCCTCTGGTAACCTCCACGCCCATACAACACTCCATCGTGTGTGTGGTGTGTGTACATATTTGTTTATCCATTCATCTACTGGTGGAGACTTGGTTTGTTTCCACCTTTTTCCTATTGTGAATAATGTTGCAATGAACTCTGGCCCATAGGTATCTGTTTGAGTCTCTATTTTCCATTCTTTTGGGTATATAGCTAGGAGTGAAATTGCTGGGTTACATAGTAAATCTATGTTTAATTTTTTGAGGAAGCACTAAACTGTGTTTCCACAGCAGCTGCACCGTTTTACATTCCTACCAGCAATGAATGAGGATTCCTAGTTTGTTTGTTTTTTTAAATTAGAGCCATTTTCGTGAGGAGTGGTTATCTCATTGTGGGTTTGTTATTTCCCTGACGACTAATGATACGAAGCACCTTTCCATGGTTCCATATAAATGGCTTACTGGCCATTTATATATCTTCAAGATAAGAATTCATTGCCAAATCCAAGGTCATGAAGATTTACCTGTCTTTTTCTAGGAGTTTTATGGCTTTAACCCTTACATTTAGGCTATTCACCCATTTTAAGTTAATTTATGTACAGGATGTGAGGTAGTGGTCTAACCTCATTCTTTTGCATGTGGAAATCCAATTGTCCCAGTGCCATTTATTGAAAAAACTGTTCTGTCTCCACTGAATGGACTCAGCACCCTTGTCTAACATCAAATGGCCACGGATGTATGGGCATCCCACTGGTCTCCATGTCTCTTTTTAATGCCGGTACCACACTATTTTGATGATTGTAGCTTTACAGCAAGTTCTAAAATCAGGAAGTGTGGGGCCCTCAACCTCGTCCTTCTTTTTTAAGATTATTTTGGCTATTTAAGGGCCCCCTGCAATCCTGTATGAATTTGGGTTTTGACTTTTCCATTTCTACAAAAAGGCTGTTGGCATTTTATAAGGATTGCATTAATACGTAATTCACTTCGACATCTTTGTGATGTTCCAACCCATGAACATGAAATTTCTTTCTGTTTATTTAGGGTCTTCCTTAATTTCTTTCAGCAATATTCAATAGTTTCATTGACCAAGTCTTTCACCTCTTTGATTACATTTATTCCTATGTATTTTACTCTTTTAGATATTTTAAATTGAACTGCTTTCTTAATTTCCTTTTTAGATTGTTTGTTTTTGTTGTTAATAAGCATTTTATAGGCATTAGCTCACTTAATTCTCATCACAACATTATGGGTAGATACTATAACATCTCCATTTTGAAGAATTTTACGATGCAGTGGTTAAAAATCTTGCCCGAGGCCACAGAAACAAACGAAACTTGACTCTGGGTTTTCTAAGGTTCTAGGAATCTGGACCCAGATCGTTCTAACTACAAACTACAGTGTAGTTTGACCAGCCATTTCATTCTCATGACACCACTCAGTTCTCACAGCGCAGTAACTAGGCGGTGTTGGTAGGCAGCTGCTGGCCCCATTTTCCTCACGAAGGGAAAAAAGCACTCAACGCCAAATGACTTACCTACAGGTGTTCAGCAAGGAATAATGTCCACATAGAACCTTTTATTTTATCTTTATTATTTTTAAAAAGATTTTATTTATTTATTGTTAGAGGTGGAGAGAGGGAGGAAGAGGGAGAGAAACGTCAATGCACAGTTGCCTCTCGCACACCCCCACTAGGGACCTGGCCTGCAATCCAAGCACGTGCCCTGACTGGGAATCAAACCAGAGACCTTTTGGTTCATAGGTCAGCGCTCAGTCCACTGAGCCACACCAGCCAGAGCCACATGAAACCCTTTAGATACTGACCCAATACCGTTCTCACCTTCCACCTCTCCACCACCTTTTGACTTGACTTGCTGTGTGGCCCAGAAATTGGTATTTTTAAAGCTTGCCAAATTGTTGGCAAGTGCAGCCAGGTTTACGAATAAAGGAACTAAAGCAAGCGTGGAACTCGGCTTCTGCTCAGTGCATTGTGAGTGATAATGAGCTCAACTGCAGGTAGGTCGGCGGGGCAGCCAGCTCCACGTGGCTGCCCAGCCCTGCGTCTAACCCTTCACGTGCGGAGTTCCTGAAGCACACTGAATTCTAGCTCCCAAACAACTCATCAAAACCTCAAAGACCTGAGTAACCTGGATCAATCTGCCAACTTCATATGACGCAACTATTGGCCACTTGTGATTTAGAATAATTCTGCACAAGATAACTTCCTGAGATGTGACCAAAGAATAGAAATGATCAAATAAACCTATCAGCAATATTCAATCCAAATGCAGGACAGTGGTATAAACTACTTTAAACAATACCAGAAAACAGAGGCCATTAAATTAAGGCTATTATGTAGGCACTTATATAACAAGACAAACCCCCAAATTTTTACAAATATTTTATTCATGAAATTTAAAATATAACAACTGAGTTTCATTTTCTGTAATACACATCTATTAATGAGGAGACTGAAATTCTTTTTTGGGGTGGTAACGTTTCACTCAACTAGGGTTCACAGCATTTCCTATCGAAACAGATGACGTTAATGCTGTTTATCTGGTAATGCTGATCTGTAATGCAATTCTACGTATTTCGTTTTTGAAAACATCTTTCCCCCCATGAGCTCTATGGCAGCACCTGCAACACCTGAGAGCCGTAACCGCAGCACTGGGAGGCACAGCGTCCGGGCAGAGTGACGGGCAGTGACAGCCCACACGCAAACCGTGCCGCCGCCACTCAGTCCTGCTGTTGCGCAGGAGCAGGCCAAGGAAAGTGTGAACAAGTGACCTGGCCGCGTTCCAGTAAGACTTTATTTATGAACACTGAGTGCTGTATTATTCTTTTGATCGTTTCCCCACAAACATTTAAAAACACAGAACCCATTTTCAGCTCATAGCCTTCACAAAAAAACAGGCAGTAGGCCAAATCTGATCCACAGACCACAGTTCGCCAGCCCCTGTCATGGGACCTGGAAACTGACCTTTCAAGTCCCCTACCTTCCAAAAGCCAATGGAGTGGATCAGTGAGCTTAACATCTTGTCTTTTAAGAAAGAAGGTCTCACTAAAATTTATTCACAAGCTAAAGTTTTTAAAAATGAAAACACCAGCATCTTAAGCTATTAACTCAAAGATGCACCCTATTTTGTAAGACCTTTTATAAAATGAGATGATTCAGGCTAAAAGCTATTTAATAAATGACATAATAACCTCATGTAGACACCTGGTTGTGGATAGAACATTTGTATGACTTCTCAGACTTTAACCTAACTGACCCTTCACCAGGAATTTATCAACTACACCAGCAATATTATTATTATATTTCTGTTCCCTGTTCACATAATACTTCTTCAAATAATTCTGAACTTGAATCTAACACACAAAGTACTTTAAATACTACCCTTTGAGACCAAATCTAAAGCTATACATTAGCTTTCCCAAAGTAGAGACATTATCACTGGGGAAGTTAATGACAATAACACATTTATGACACTAAATTCTAGCACCAACAGCCATGCAGTTGATTTTACACTATTCTAATTGGAACACGCTTTATTACTCTGTTGGACCAAAAGAGCTGGATGCTAACTTTGCTCTGACATCTAAAATTCCACCTCTAACAAAAAGCCAGGTACGTAAGATCAGTGATGCAAAGTTTCCAGGTGTCCCGCAGGAACCTCTTCCCCGACCAAAGTGCCCAGTGCCCTTTCCTACGAGTAGAACCTGAGTTCTGAAGGGCAGGGTGCGTGTCCTTCTCCAGCCCCGCGTCTCCCAGTTACCTTTCAGAGTGCTCAGATGATGGGTGTGGAACTGCGATGAGCTAACGAAATCACCAATCAGAAATGAAAACATAGGGCACCACCCCACTTACGGTTCGGGTTCAACTGCAACAAGAGGCATATCTCTTCTGAGCAAAAACCGGTTCTCAGGCACGGGGGGTATCTCTTCCGGGCGGACCACCGGCTTTTCCCTCTTAGCATTCGAATCGACTGACCTCTTTCCGTTGGTATCGCTTCTCTCAGAGTGACTGTGAGAGATGTACCAAGTCACCAATTAAGATGTGTAATGTGTGCATTTCATAGTAAAAGTACATAAAATTAGATGTTAAATAGCAAAACTACTGATACCTTGTAAGTCTCACTCAAAAGGTTTACAGTTTCCCAGAGAGAACACATAAAATATCAACCCAGGTGAAAACCCCTAGTACAAAAATTCTGAAAACTGTCAAATGAGTCCTAACTTTTTTCTTTTAAGAGTTTCAGGGATTATTTTCAACTAACTAACTAAATCTTTGATATGAAATGTCTATGTTACTTAAATTTGCCAGATTTTGATTTACATAGAAAATGCTACCCTTCTTACAACAGGGAGCGATGCTAAGTTTACAGTCACACACACCTTACCCCCCCATTCCAGAGTTGTTGTCCTGTTGGTGTTTTGGAAAGCCGATCCCAGGGTCTCGCACCTACCCTCTCGGGCTCACTGTGTGTTTACTCCTCGGCTCTTCTGAACTGCTTGCTTCCTTCCGTCTCCTCTTGGAATGTTTAACTTTCGGCCTCCTCTTATGTTTCCTCCTTCGGATTCTCTCCTGTTCAACTTCGCTTTCTGAAGATGATTCTGAAGAGGAAGAGGAATTGGAAGAGGAATCCGATTCTTCTGAATGAGTTGGTTTCTTCCTTTTTTTCTCAAAAACTTTTAAGAAACATTAACAAAAATATTAGTATAAGAGTGTCTACCTTTCAGAGTAAAAAAATGTGATTACCAAATATTACAAAACATCCTTTATGTATAGCAAACTAACAACGAAATTTAAATAAGCCTTTTCTCAAGCTGATAATACAATCTGCTGATGGGACCATAAGGCACCAAAGCCCTTGCCTCCGTGAAGTCTAGTGGGGTCGTGTAAGAAAATACCCACACGATATGACAAATAATAAGTGATAAAAAAAGCAAGCAGTGTAAAGAGTACAGGGAGAGTCAGGGGTAACTTAAGGCAGCATTTGAGCAGGGATGTAGGGGTGAGAGAGGGTCAGGCGGATTTCTGAATGAAGAGTGCACCAGACTGAGGACAGAGCCGGCACCGAGTCCCCGAGTCCTCGGCACGTCTGCGTAGTCAAGGCGGACACGGCTGGAAGACAATGCATGATGGGGAAGAAGGCGGAAACAGCAGAGTCCCAGGCAGCCCTACAGGTCACTGTAAAGACTTTAGCTTTGGCTGACTGGGAAGGAAGCCCTAGAAGATCACTCGGTGGCTGCCAAGGACAGACTGCAGAGGGCCTAGAGTATAATTAAGAAGACTGAGTAGGAGGCTGCTGCTGCTGCTGAGAAAAGACTGTAGAGGAGTAAAGACCAGGGCGAAAAGAACACTCATGAGGCTGTCGCAGTAAGCCAGGGAAGAGGCAGCATTTGATAAGACCTGCTGATGGGCCAGACACAGGGCCTGACGTTGAGGTATCAGGGCTATTGCTGTACCACTCCTATGAGGTTTTTGCACCACTGAAATCCAGGAGGTATCTTTAAGTTACAGTCTTCAACACCAGTCACCTGTATCCTAGCTCCCTTTCCCGCCCCAAACTCTCACCATCTTTTGCTGATTTCGTGGCAAGCACCCCACAGTCGATAACTCGCACGTCTGCATAAGGTCTGCTTGCAGCATCAGTTTTCAAATTTTCAATTTGCTCGATTACTTCAAAACCAGAAATAACTAGTCCAAAGACAACATGAACCCTGTCACGATACAAATTCAAGAAAGAGCTGGTTTGCTGATAATTAAGCCACAAGCAGTAATCAAGATAATTATTATAAATGACATGTCCATAGACCTGAAAATAAAAGCAGTGTTTGTTCCATGAAGGGAATTAGAACTTGAGATCTGCTTCATAAAAGGGGGGAAAAAAACAACTACTCAAACTGGGCCTTAGTTTTCTGCCTTTAAAGTAATGGCTCTTAACTACTTTACAGTAAAGAGTCCTCTGACAGTCAGAACGCACTCGCTGCTCAGAAACCATCCTTGCAGGGGCCCTTCACTGAAAGGCCCATTCATGGGTTGCAGGCAGGACCCCTGCAGGAGCATGAAAGCCATGGAGTCTCAAGACTATTGCTCCAAGTGATCCTTAAGGAAGAGTCTGGCTGTTAGGCTAATCCAGAGACCAAGAGCGCCCCCTGGAGGGGATACCCAGGTCCAATGTGTCTGGGACCAGCCACCCAAACACCTCCCCAAGGGAGTAAGAAGGTGTGTAACTCTTACCCATCCAGATGCGGAGCAGGTTTTGTGGTGCTGTGTAATAAACATCGACACAAAGATGGCAGCAAAAACCAGGTGTGTTCAGGAGAACAGAGCAGAAGGGTTTAACACAGAGCATGTAGAAAACAGAGAGGTGAAGATAAAAAGACAGGGGAAAAAGTTAAACATGATATACATGTACATTTTTACATGAAAACCTTAAAAACAGCTACAGTAGCCATTTTACTGACAAAACCCTCATAATCATAATGCATTATAAAACCATGTGTTTCTCCAATATGAGTGTTATTATATATGTATTCATACATATAAAATAGATTTGAAATAGACTAAACATTAAAATTAAAGTTACTCTCAATTCCAAAATAACAACAAAAAGAAACAAACTCAAAATTTGTTAAGGTAACTAAAAAGTACCTATCCTTCACCCCATGGAAAGAAAAGTGTGACCAGCATGTACTCCACACGCTTAACTGTGTTCTTCTATTGCGCATGTGCCGCCGCAGCGAGCAGGCGCTCTCTGCTTGTTTCTCATGCTGAGTCAGTGTGCATCTTCTAGGGAGGCAGATGGAGTCAGGGCACAGGAATTCTGCTTCCAGAATTCCCTGCCTCTGCTCCTTCCCCGAAGGTCAATAAGGTGAAGCTCTGCTACCACTCACAGCAACTCTGAAAATGCAACAGGGAGCCGACCTTCCACCTGCCAGCACTTCTGACAGCAAAGTAAACAATGATGGGCAACATCAATAGACATTTCAAACTTCCACGGCCCAGAAAACGCTCAACCAGCTTCTTCCACAGCCATAAACTGGGAGATAGTCACTCTGGAGAAGCCTAGGGAGTACATCTGGTTAAGACATTTTGAACCCAAGCTGGTCTTCCCACAGCATTTTCACACACTTGTGAATTGCAGTAAGAAAAAAAAAATCAAAAGCAGATATATCTAGACTCGGAAGTATATACCACAAACCTACTTTAACTTTGTTAAACAGTCAAATTGTAGTACAATCTCCCAAATACAATTTAAACCTTCATCAAAACAATGCTGAAAACCTTTATTCTACAAGAAACTGTAGCATTTATATTAAGAAAATTCAGTTCTGTAAGACCACATTAGTTCCAGAATTTTAAAGGGAATCTTAAGTTTTTAAACCACTAATCTCAAACTTTCCTTAGAAGACTGAGAAGTGGTAATTAAAGTTAATGTAATAATAAAAATGAATAAAAAGAGTTGGAAGGAAGGAAGGAAGGAAGGAAGAAAAGAAAGAAGGAAGGAGTTGGGGAGGGGGGAGGAAGGGAGCCCTGGCCGGGTGGCTCAGGTGGGTAGAGCACTGTCCCAATACACCAAGGCTGCAGGTTCGATCCTGGTTGGGCGGGGCACATGCAGGAATCAACCAGTGAATGCACAGGTAAGTGAAACAACAAATTGATGTTTATCTCTCTCTTTCTACCTCCCTCTCTCTCTCTAAAATCAATAAATAAAAATTTGAAAAAAAACCTAGCAAACTGGTGAGACACTAATGCTTAAATCATTAAACTAGCGTCCAGAAACTACCTCAGTCAGTATCTTTAAGACAGAAATGTGCTTCCCACAGTTATAAAACTTAACCAAAGCACACTACAGAGAGGAAGAAATCAGTCCGTACTCCAGACAGTGATTCCACTGTGTGAAAGCTGCAAAGAGGTAAAAAAATATAAAGGTGAAAATGTTCTGCAATGTCAAGGCTCAGTCTCACATGTGCAGCAGTGAAAACAATGGATGGTCTGTGGTTAGACTTATTCCTCTTCCTTCCCTGGTCCTTTCTCTCTCAATCTTCTGGTGTTGGGGAAAGACTACAGATTTCTCTAAAACACAAAGAATCAATTCAATCTGCCACCCTGGCTAATAAAAGTGCTGTAAAAACACCTTACGGTAAACCTTTGGAGCCAATGGTGAGATGAAAATATTCTAGCTAACTGCATGATGTAGGAACATACTACTAGAGACTCAATTTGCAGCTACCTTTATGACAGACTAAACTTTTGTTTTTAATTCAAATGAAAACTGAACAAATGAACTTGGTCCTTTCCTGTGACAGTGAGGAAAATAAATGAAGACAGGAACCACGCTTTCAAGGGCAAGTTCCAGATGGCCTGCTGTAATAATTAAGTCCATTACTTACATCTGCAATTCAGGATGCAGCAATACAAACTTACACCTTCACTGGGTTAGACTGTATATTAAAAACGCTGAAAGGACCTTAACAAAAGAAAGCCCTCTGGGATCCTGAGGCTCCGTTCCAGAAGCAGGAATCCCAGCACAAAGCAGGCTCACTGGTACGGGGCTGGCACTCCGCCGTGGACGAACAGAGGATGGTGCCAAACAGGGTAAGGAAAGGACAGGGGAAATGATATGCTCTGTCCAAGCTGTCTATTCTATTAAAATGAACGAGATCTCATCCCAACTCTTTGTTGTACTGATCTTTCAAAACTGTGCAGTTGGAGAGTCCCATGTGGTGACAGCCTGCGCTCAGTAAGTTAAGACCTAAGGCCAGAGACTGTCGTTGTTCATACTTGTGAAAATATACCGGAAGGAGAAACAACCACAAAGAACATTTCAAATGACGAAAGCTTTCAATAATTTCATATTCTCCTGACACTTAAGACATTGATTTTCCAGGTTCCCCCAACCTTTGAATCTGCTTTAAAGTTACAGGGGTGGGCAAAAGTAGGTTAGTAATACTAATAAATGCCACAATTATTAATAAATAATACTACAAGAATAAACTCTGCATTTCATGTGCTCACAATGGTTAACCTACTTCTGCCCACCGCAGTGTACATGCAAGAGTTCATTTAAACCTCGTAAATGCTGGAAATTAAAAAATGCCACTGTTCCCCGCACAATCTACATTTTACACCATTATCAATGAAGTTTTGGCCTCACACAGAATTTAATAGTTCCATACGAAAATGATATAAACCCATTATACACAACATAGCACTCCCGCCCCGAAGACGTGTGCAAACAGCGGAAACGAGCCACTGAAATTAAAACATACTCCCCAGGTTAACCACGGGCAGTAACACACGCTTGTTTTACATGTGTTGCTGCCGTACAGATTAAGCAGAGTTTTTTTTTTTTTTCTTAAAATTGTTCAATGCACATAACAACAGGATTAAAGAGATAAAGGCAGAGAAAGAGAGAGAGAGAGAGCCTTAGAGTAATGAGACATTACCTTTGGAGCGCACGGTGTAACACTCTTTCTGTAAATTTTACACAAAAATGGCAAGAAATAAATTGTAATACACTTTTAAGACAAGACTGAATCTATGTTTTAATATCAATATAACTTTGAAATTAAATATTTTCAAGTTTTATGCAAAGCAAGAAAGCTTTTTAAAATGGAGGGCTCTAAATTTTCTTTCACACAGGTACGCATGTGGAAATGAACTGCACTTAAGAAAAGCACTGTGGCTGAAGTTGGCACCTGCCCCAGTCCTCACCACTGTAACGCTAGTGTTCGTACCTACTCACAAAATATTACCTTTCGCCTCACGACTGGCTAAGGCAACTACCACCTTTCTCGAGAAGAGAACAGTGTGTCCTGGGGCCCCGTGAGTGTCGACTCTGGCCGCCTGGAAGCCAGCCGTACCAGTCGGAGGCACAGATGCCAATGGAAAAAACTGAGGAGAGTTCAGAACACATCAAATTCCAGGAACTTTCATCCTGCTTCACTTCAGCTGCAGACCTGGCGTGCCCACACGTTTGAAACAACTCTGCCGTCACATGCCACAGCAGACCGCTGTCGGAAGTTCACAGGCAAGTGTCTGGCCTCTAGTTACTGTTCACTGCCATATATGTGCTGTAGCTGCTAGTCACTGAAAACAGTCCTAATAAAATAATAAAGCGCCATAACTAGAATTTTAAGAATCTTCTCAAAAGAAATAAGGGCAAAAGAGATGAATGTGTAAGACTATGGTATCAAATCCTGGCCACAGATAGTACTTTCTTTTCCTGTCTAACCTCTGATTTTCCCCATTATATATGTATTTTTCACAGAATATGCATGGCCTGGCCAATTTTAACTCCGACTTTAAACATATCTATTACTACTCAGATAAAAAACCTTATTATACAGAGTAGACAAAATTATTTATGGGGGTTTTGAACATATTAAATATTAAAATACTTAAAAACAAGCTTTAATTTCTTATAAGGGCATTGATACTTGAATTAAATCTGAAGTATGCTTCAAACAATGTGGAGTTTCCATGAGTGTAAAAGAAGTGGCTTTAGGCGTGAAACAGCACGGGAGAAGGAAACAAGGTAACCCGCTGCTGCCTAACGGACCCTCCAATGTGCATTTTTTCCTTCTAACTGCTGAAACTATCACCCCGTCACGGAGGAGGCACCCACAAACTGCACAGTGACAAAGCGGTGTAAGGGCAACAGAAACTCACCAAGCCACATTACAGCGCTCTACTTATGTGTCCCAAATGTCACCCCGAGGAGCTTTCAAAAATTCAGCGCTTATGTTAACACAATACCCATTGATGCATATGTCATATAAGTCCTAAATAATACTAAGACTAAATTAGGGCTGACACTTGACATTCAGAGAATTTGGCTTATGGTTAAGGTAACATTTTTGTTCTTAAAGAATTTTTGAAATGAATGTATTAGCCCAAAAAATGGAAGGAAAAAGCTAGAACCTCTCAGGTTATTACCACTTACTAGCATTTCTTCTCAAACCTACTTTTGCCATCAAAAATGTCAGTGAGGCTTTCCGAAGCCCTTCAAGCCACCCCCTTGCTCCACTACTCGGAAATGGTCAGCACTCCTCTCCCACTCAGGTGGGGGCACTGGCGAGTCAGATTTTTAAATGGCAGAACATACCCTCAAACTTCCTGTTTTCCTCCCACAGTCCTACTTAGGGCTGTTCCAATGCAAACCCTTTTTGAGCAGTCAAGTTTGATTTTTCTGTATTATCTTGTTTTCTTATCTTTTTATAATTATCATGACCACTGACAGACTTCTCCAAAGCTCTGGGGTCTATTCCATGGGTGTGATTTAAGGCCACACAGACTAAGCACAAAGGGGACAAGGGCTTAGCCACAAGCCCGAGAGTCCTGGCAGCAGCGGACAGGAGGCTGCTACTGCTGCCGCCCCGATCTAGGCACCGTGGCCCGGAGCTGCCCTGCTGCTGCCGCTGCCCTCATCTAGGCACCGTGGCCCGGAGCTGCCCTGCTGCTGCCCTGCCCTCATCTAGGCACCGTGGCCCGGAGCTGCCCTGCCGCACCCTTCAGACCAAGGGAACTGCAGCGATGGTGATGATTCCCTCCAGGCAAGGCGGTGTTTGCATAAAAATCACTCCACATATTCAGAAACTTAGCAACAATCTATAAAGCTTTCTTCTTTTTATGTCCACATTTTCACCCTAAAATATTTACTTCATCTTTGAAAGTGAGGTAGGCACTTTGTAATGTGTCATTTTATTTTCCAGTAATGCTGGAAACTTCCAATAACGGATTGAAATAAATTCCGAGTGGTCAAGAAGATTTCGTAGTTCATGGTGTGTAGCGTTCTCTTTCTAGCTACCATTCTTTTCTAGACTGTGAGTACAATTTCTACATAACCTGGACTTTATATGGGTTTTATTCTTTACTGAGCATTACCTACAGAATGAAAAGAATGGACTGGATTTCTAAGTACTTTCCACTCTAAGAATCTGTAATTCTACAGCTTTTATTGCCGTTCTTCCTAATCTTTGGCTTCAAACATAAATAACAAAAAGGACAAAATGACTAAACATTGAGTAAACTTGGTTACAGCTCTGGTCCCTGTTCTTTGACTTCTTTCAAAAATACCTCAACACGAGCCACTATCTCCTCAGTGATTCATGGGGACAGTTCCCTGTGTCACTTCCCTCGTGTTCCTTGAGCAGTACTGTTCCGAAGAGAATCAGTTTTCTTCTATGTAGGCCCCTCAAACAAAACCATGTAATGACACAGTACTAGATATAAGCAGTTTTATTGAGAAACTTACAAATAGCTTCATAGAAGAAAACCTGATTTCCATCATGTACATAACTGTTCCACCCAAAGAAATATATGCCAAATGCTGTGCAATAGCAATGCTATAAGCACAGGGGAAGTTTTCAATGTGCAAGTAACGAAGACGACAGCCACTGCACAAAGCACAAGAATCCTTGAGGGACGTTTGGAAAATACCCACACTAATAGTGTGAAATTTACTCCTCAGGAATTGCAAAGTAACAGGTTTAGAACATAAACTACGGTTGCAATTTTGCAAGATTGGATTAAAAGCCCTTGCTACGCCTGTAAACAGGAACTATAAAGCAGCTCTCGGCATTTCACCACCCAGTCTTAGGCTGCCCTTCCTTTTTCCAGAACGACTGCTCAAGATGCCACAGACGGCGCTGTGGTGAGAGGTGAAGGGCAGGGGAGCCGTCCGGCTCCCATTGAAGGGCAATGGTCTGTGACCATCGACCCCTGAACCTCAACTTCCAGACCTTCCATCTGGGATCACATACACCAACCGAAGACAGTACGTTTTACCTTTTTTACTACTTCCAACTCCTAAAGGATTTGCAAAACATGGATTTTCAAAGATTTTTCTTTTATGGAAAGAACCATCTCCATTTCCCTATCCTTTCTATAAAAGCAAGATGTTTTGTTTAGAAACGCTGACTGCTGGTTAGATTTTTGAACTACAACCCAGGAGGAAGCAGTACTTTTAGCCAGCATTAAAAAGCACATTCATTAAAAAAAAAAAAAAAAAGAGAGAGAGAGAGACTAGGATTTTTGTGAGTGTGCAAAAGCACTCTATTATTTCCAAGATTGCTTTTAACTTGGAAATTCATTTCCAGAATTAAATTTCAAACTTTAAGTAGAAAATTTTCTTCCAATTACAGGTTCACAGTGACTTTAATGCCATCTACAGTTAATTATGAAAACAAGTTTAAAACATTTAATTTTCATTCACTAAAGTTAGAATTTTCATTTGGCATTCCTTGTCAAAAACAGCAGTCTGATGTAAAATTAAGCAATGGCCTTAATTTTGTTTTGACGCTGAACACTCCTAGGAGAGACTTAAGCAAGCACTGAAGAACACAGAAACAAGATGCTCTGAATTTTCTGGAGGGAGAGCCTCACATACTGGATTTTAATTAACGTATGTAGGTGTGCCAGTTTTAACTCTAACATTTTATAAACAAGCTAATCAGTACGTAACGATGGGAAGAAGCTGCTGCTACCTGGTAAATCCAATTTTACATGTCCTGATATAAAAAAAACCTAAAAGAAACTTTAGAGCCCTCGGATGGTAGCTTCTTGACCAACGAATCATTAGTTTATCACGCGCAGTTCAGATAAGCTTAAAAATGGAAATGGGAAAACTCGATCAAAGAGCAAACAGCTTCTGTCACTAACTACCATATAAGAAGCTTTTCAAAATATTTCCCACTGCTTTTTTTTTGGCCCCGAAGAAGGTTAATAGAAAAATACAAAGAAGTGTAATAACTAATACTCTCTGCCTAAGGTCTTCCTTTTTTCCTGTATAACTCCAAGTGTCACCATCTTCTCTCAGCTTTCCATTTTTAGGACATTCTTAGGAACAGAATGCCCCTTATCTGAACTTTATCAGATCATACTGGACATCTATTTTTCAGACACATTAAAAATGTGAGATTTATTATATGTGAACTCCTTTAAAGACAGGGAAGCGCCATTCATACTCATCCATTTAGAAAGACAACCCCCCAATAACCCTGTTTCTGATAAACCAAGACTAAAACACTTCTCCAGCACACACGGCACCCCTGTCGAGATTTACTCACAATCTAGAGCATGGAACTTCGAGCTAAACAGTTACCTTCCATACCTTACGTCAGGGGGTTCTATAAAAACAGGCTTTGGAGTAGCAGTAGTTAAGAATGAAATTAATAGTATCCCAAAGGCCTTTCAGACAAGAAACAAGTACTGGGGTTCAGGTTGTTCATGCACATATATATAAGGGTGTTTGTTTTTTAAAGAGCAAATTTAGCATGCTGAAGTTTCCTGAGTGATAATCTCATAAATTTTGGTGGAAATGATAATAACATTGGGTTAATTAAATTATGTATAGAGATCTCATAAGCTTTGAGTTTTTTTTAAATACTGGCTTTACAGCAAATCACTTATTTCCACACAAAATCAGGAAAGAATGTCATCTCTCTCAAACTGGCTCAAAGAGACACAGTAGGAGAAAAAGCAACTATACAAGGATACATCTAGTACCCTTGAATGTTCATCAATAGTTGCTGTTCCAATCTAGCTTTGGTAAACTCAGCCCCCAAATTAGCTAAAAGTCAAAGACAATGTCTTTTTGTAAGATGACAACCTATTTTGAAAATAACATACATATTCAACTGATGTGTTTTAAGCATCATTGTTCAAATCCAGGATATATGCTGAACACAGAATTGGTTCCTGATACTGTAACATCAGGTAACTGGTACAGTACCAGTTACTGTAACATCAGAAATTAAAAATGAAATCCAAGTTTTCACATGAAATTTCGTTTAACTATACCATCTTTCCCATGAACAGCGCTTCTCTGTTTAAAAGCTCATCTCTGAATTACGCCTACTCACATGAAGAACTGGGAACCATTGGTATGTTTCCCTCGGTTTGCCATTGACAAAAGGAACGCTCTGTCATGTTTGAGAATAAAGTTTTCATCTGTTTGAAGAAAACACAAATTCGTCAGTCTCCAATTATACACCACTTCTCAAGTGTAATGTTCACAGAAATAAATAGAAAGCAAAAGATGAAATTCCTCTTCTGGTCAGTACAGATACTTGACTGAATATTTAGAAAAAAAGTTTTGACTAATCAATTAACAAAAGCATAAAAAGACCAAAAAATACTACTAAAGCCTTGAGGAAAAAGAACAAGTATTTAATACTTTATACAAACAGCCTTAGAACAGTCACTTTTAGTAGTAACATACTTTGGCTAAATATTTAAACGGTAACTTTCGGGGAAGACTAACAAAGGAATTTTCAGGGAAAAAACCCCCTGTATTTAGTAAAGCTCATTTCCTCCAAATTATTCTGCCTAATGTACTGTACATGGAGAAATTTAATAATCCTCTTACGTGCTTAATTTCTATATGGTAAATTTACTACTTAGCTGAACCAAAGCTAGACTATGAGAGTAAAAATAAAAAATTACATAAATTAAGTTGTAGAGACATTCCTGAATTAAATTATGTGGATTCCTTCTAGTCAATAGGATCACAAAATTATCTAAGGAAGAAAGTCCTGTAAAAACAACTTAAATGGCGAAATACAATTTTAAAATACACAGGTATCTGCCACAGGGAGCCGCCACATCCGAGTGGCCCACCAGCTGTCATTTCAAAGCTACATGCTAACAGGACCGGCTAAAGAGCTGTCCCCACCACTTCAACAGATACACTGTCATGAAGATCACTTAGAGATTAGATTAATGCAAGCAGAAGTACTTGAGAATTTAAACTTGCTTTTAACATTCATACAAACAAATCTTTCTTTAGAACAAACAGAAACACAGAAAACTTTAAAAAATGGTTACCTTGGGAACAGGCTTCTGAAAAAGAGTAGTAATCCATTTCCCCCAAAAGAAATATAAAAGACTATTATAACACTGAGGCTATCATGGCATTAAAACCGAGCACTATTGGATCCCATTATAAATCTCTGCAACTGACTTTTCTAAGGCGTTTTGGGGCAAGTGCAATAGTTAGATTTATACAAATACTACTACTATAAAAATAATACACAATCATAGAGTTCTAGTGTACAAAAGAAAATATACAAACCTTGAAGAAGAAAGAAATACCAACTTTTATTCAAGACATTGCATGGTTTAGGGAGAAAAAAGACACAACTACATTCTTTTCCCTGATGTGGAACTGATAACCCATCAGGAAAAGGAAAAAAGATACAGACATATAAAATAGTATAAATAATTTTCCAAGTCTTCAAGCAATATTGAAATCCAGCCACAACCTGACCCAGACTGTCCACAAATTTATTAGGAAGGGTGCAAGGGAACAGAATTGGAGTTCGTGTTACTGAGCTTCGTTCTCTTACCTTTTCATTTTGCAAAAGACCACATTCTCTATAAACAAAAGAATATGTTGACAGTTTTAGGCAGGAAGATAGGAGTTTTCATGTATATAGTTGCCTAACCTCCATGCTGAAAGTCATGTTTAACCATAACGTTAGCCTTAATTAATCTTGTCAATTAAGTTACATATTACAATATGATTTATCCCCAAGTTCATGCAAATAAAGTATTTTCATGCAGCATTAGTTTCATGCAAAAAGTGAACTATAAGTAAACCTGTTCTCATTAAAAGTACATGATCAAACTTGCTTTAATATCAGAACTGAAACAAGAAACAATAAAATTTTAAGGCTTACCTTTAAAATATCCACCATAAATTGATTCTCCACCTTTTCCATTACCTGCAAATAACAAGCTACATTAAACTATAATGAAAATTAGAAACATACTAGTATACATAAATTACTTTTTATGGTTTCAATTTGCTGAAGGAGATAATACCTTGTAATTGCTTCAGCAATCAAAATCCTAACAAACCTCATTCCATTATAATAAACACTATTACAATAATTATCTCCATAATCTATTTATTTCAAACACTAATCACACCAGAAGAATAAATACAATCAAACAGTGCTTTGGCATTCATCATAAGGTAATTCACCAAGTACTTATATTATGAAAATAGCATAAAAACAACTAAAAATGTCTTGGTATTTTGTTTTTTCATACATTCTTGGTCTACAACATTTATTCATCCAACAACTACTCAATGGCCACCTAATATTTACATTATACTGTAAGTGACAATATTTACAATGAAAAATAACGGCTACTTTAGAAACTGACAGATGAAGTTATTAGGAGCATAACTTTTAGCTCTACCTTCACTGAAGTCCCCACCCTGAATCATAAAGTTTTTAACCACACGATGGAATGTAGAACCTTTGTAACATAATTTCTTCCCAGTTGTTTTCCCAAGGCCTTTCTCCCCTGGAAAAAAGAGGAAAAAAAGAAAAAGGAAGTTTAGCTGCAAAGACATCCTTCCATGGAAAATACCATCCAATTACTCCTTTGTCAAATCACTCCTGAGTGTTGGGCACTGTACAAGAGGCACACAGCATGGCAAATTAAAACACCTCCCACCTCAATAAATAACACAAAGCAGCATATAAATGTTAAATCGAGGCCTGGCTGGTGTGGCTCAGTGGACTGAGCTTTGGTCTGCAAACAGAAAGGTTGCCAGTTCGACTCCCTGTCAGGGCACATGCTTGGGTTACAGGCCAGGTGCCCAGTTGGGAGCATATGAGGCAAGCGATCCACATTTCTCTTGCACATCGATGTTTCCCTCCCTTCCTTCGCCCCTCTAAAAAAATTTAAATAAAATCTTTAAAAAAACAAGGAGAAAACCTTTTTTTAAAAGGGTTACATTGTGTGGTGCGGACTCTACATGCTACAGGAGAAAAACGGGTCAGGACCTGTTACCATCCCAGAAAAGAACGAGAGCAGGGCGGTGCAAAGGCTGCACATGCGTGTGTGGACACCCGAGTCCGGACTGAAATGTTTCAATTTGCTGCTTCTAAGGTAACGTTACAGATGTTTCCCTCTCCATGTTCGTACTTTTAAAAAATATCAACCCAACATTATATAACAAAGAATAACTTAACTATCTTTTGCTTCTCTCTCTAAATCCTAAATTACTTGTGAAGTCTGGATTGCTAAATTTATACAGAGTACTGAAGCTTCTGAAACTGTACCAAATTGGTTTTCAAAATGCTATTACTTTATAAACTACAACGTCAAGAGATTTTATTACACACAGTAGTCCTTTATTTATCATTTTTAAAGACCATTTCTTTCTTCTCTCTTCCCTTGGAAAAACAAAATGCTTCCCTGATTTCATGTAGGTGAAAATATTTTTTATTTGCTAAACTCATCTCATAGCCAAATAATCATTATGCTTGAATGATTTTATTTATTTATTTTTAGACACAGGTGGGAGGGAGGGAAAGAGAAGAAAGGAGAACATCGATTTGAGAGAAAAACATCGATCGGTCGCCTTTCCTACATGCCAGGAGGACCTAACCTGCAACCCAAGCATGAGCCCTAACAGGGAAGCGAACTGGTGACCCTTGGCTTTGTGGGATGATGCCCAACCCATCAAATCCCATCAGTCAGGGCTCATAGCTCATTAGTTTTTAAGTAAAATACCTACTTTGTTAAGCAAGGAAAAACTGTAAGCCATGACTTCTCATTGGAAAGAATTTTTAAAAATTTTTTACTTATTTATTTTCAGAGAGAGGGGGAGGGAAGGAGAAAGAGAGGGAGAGAAACATTAATGTGTGGTTGCCTCTCATGCACACACACCCCCACCCCCGCCCCCGGACACCTGGCCCAAAACTCACGCATGTGCCCTGACTGGGAATCAAACCTGGGACCCTTTGGTTCACAGGCTGGCTCTCAATCCACTGAGCTACACCAGTCAGGGCTCTCACTGGAAATACTTTCATGGTTCATTTACCTGAGCATAGGCAAAGGAAGTTTTTGCATGTTTTTGGACATATATCTGAGAAGAGCTGAAACATTATGCGACCAACTGAAATAAAACACAAGAAATAAGGTAATCAGGTTGATTAAATACACCACATTTTATATGAAAGGAAGAAAAATTAGATACGTAGACTTGAAAAATGGTGAAGTCCATTTTCGTCATCCATTTTAATTTTTTAAAAAGATTCAACAGGAAAGAATTTAACAAGAACTCTATTTGTTAGGATTAGAATTCACATGCAGCCAAAGTGGTTTCAGCCCTAAAAGTGCAGGATTTTAGGTGTCTTTTAGAGGGGCCTATGTTATTAGATCCCCTGTAGTACAGACCCTAACTGAACTATTGGTTTTCTTTAAAAATACTCTCAATTTAGCTGATCTACGCCTGGACTCTGCAGTGATGGGAACATGTCATGCCTTAGGACAGCCATTCGGGCCAGCTCTGTTAGAGGAAAGTTCTCTGCTCTATAGTCAGCATTCTGCCTTTACTCAAGAACCATTAGAGACAACTTCCTGCATCGCCACCTATAACCAAAATGCACATTCTATTCCCTGAAAGAGCAGAAAAGAGAATAGGTTATTGTTCCTTAAAAACAAAAACAGCTCTATGATAAACAGGAAATGAAAGAAGCAAGTCTGCAAATTCGATTAATCATGCCTTAGAGAAGTTCTTCACAAACTTTTTGGTCTCCGGACTCATACATACTGTTAAAATTGCCTCCCAAGTTAATAAACTCAGCTGATGCCTCTTTGGAAACTAATACTCCTTTGAACCAATGGGTAAGATCTCAGGAACATTTGTTACTCGACACTTCGTATAATTTAGTGGGATTTAATAATCTTTTAGAATCAATCATTACTGTCAATATTATCTTTTATATATAATAAGATTTATTCCACAGAATTACTGCTATGCCAATAAATACACGGCTCTGTAAGGATAAGACTAAATCTAAAACCGGTTAGTGTAAACATCACTATGGTGTTAAGGTAAAAAATATATGGATGGTTAAGGATAAAAATAAGACAGACCAAGAATGGCTTCTGACCTTAATCCCAACATACCAACATGCAGATCCTGAAAACTAACTAAGATGGGGAACAATACTAAGATTAATTAGTTACTATCAATACATTTTAAACACTGGCTACAGGAAGGAAAAGCCAGGACTATGTCATGCTTTAATCCTGACATGGCCACCAGGTGGCAGGAATAAAATCTGCAAGTCCCCAGAATCTGGATAAAATCAACATCACCTTTCAATAACATTACTGTGCTGGAACTGCAGGTGCAATGGTGAGAAAGGAGATACACATCATGGACATAAAACATATGGCAGTTTTAAAACTGAGCACTAGTTGGGAAAAGATGGCAGGTGGTACCAAGCCACTTACTCAAACATTATTTACTGATACCCCCTGTAAATCAGGCTGTCCGATGGTATGAAGACACAGTGCTCTTCTGGGCAGCTCACAGCTCAGCTGGAAGTGACAGGCACAATGTGTTACACAGTGTGACGAGCCACCAGTGGTGTGAATGGAGAACACTCACATCTACCCGGGGTTTGGCTGATGTGGAAGGGCAGGGCGATGGGGACCATATCTGCTTCACTCACCTCTCTATCCCCACCGATTTGCACAGTGCCTCGTACAAAATAAACATGTGAATAATAATAAAAACACTTGAAACAAAATTATTCAAAGATAGAGATTAACAAAATATAAATGAAAGAATACCTAAATTTACAGATCAAAGTATTCATTGTGTACCAGGAAAAGTTATTGTAAGTGGAAAAGCATCAAGATGTTGCTTAATAAAATCTCTTTACTTTCAAAGATATAAAGGAAAAGAATCCTTCACGCATCCAGCAGCAGAATTATGCTACCCACAGAAAAAAGAAATTGCAGTATAAATAAAACCAACATGGGAGAGTTGAGCTGGCAAGAAAAGGTACATTTCCTGATATTTCAGACTCTGCTTAAAGTAGATGAAAAAGGAAATATGGGGTTAGGAATATGTACACATGTAACCACCTGTAGGATTAAAAGTGTATGAAACGCCTTTTAAATCGCTGTGGTGGAGCAGCTCACAGAAGCGGAAGTAGTGGGAGGACCTATGGAGGATGCGAGACAAGAGAAAACAGCCCTATAATTACTTAGGCACCTAAAATGTTTTTCGTGTCATTCAATACCCAACTAAAGGTATACTGAAGATAGCACAAGTAAAAACTCAAAAGAGAATTTATTCACTGGCTCATGTGGTTAGTTGACAAGGATGTTGGCATAAATTAGAGAACCGAAAAGCTCGAAGAACCAGGATGTTGGGGAATGAGGCCAGATCTTAGAGCTGCGAAGTATCACCAGGCAAAAGTACTGACTACCATCCTTCCCTGTCCCAATCAATGCGTAGGGTCCGAAACATTTTCATTAACACATATGGCCAAAGAAAATTGAATCACTCAACTCGGGATGATAAACCACTCAACTCGGGATGATAAACACAAGCAATAAACCTAAGGAAAATATAAAGATACAAGCAGAAATAAGTTAAAAAAACAGAAAGATATTAGACTTGATAAATATATCCCAAAGTTGCCATGGTATAATGGATAAGAGAGAAAATGTGGCCTAGAGTTCTGGCCTTGACAATTGCTAGCTAGCTATGTGATTTTGCATCGGTCAATAGCCACTCCAAGAGTCTCCTCTCCTGTTAAATGGGTTAAATCTTTTATCACAGTGTTGTGTAGGTTAACACCCTGCAAGCACAGGGTATATTATCAGAGCCAAGATCATTACCCTGGTTTCCAACACATTCTGCTGTTAACATGGCTTATCAAAGGCCAGCTCTGTGAAAATGAACAGAGGCAGAGCCACAGCCCAATTTCTGTGTCCTCATCTCGTGTCATTTTCAATACACTCGGCTGCCTTCCCAGGTTCTAACATGATGGACTCTCCCTGGCCCCAGACGTATTCCACAGAGTGGCTCTCTCATCAAGCTATTAAGAAGCAAGCAGCCTTGCTGCATGATTTCAGGTCACGTGTGAAAATGAACCTTCCCAAAGGTGACAGCATTCTTAAAAAAAGGATACTTATTTACTTGGATGCAACCCAGATTAGTATGTAACAGTAAAATGGAAACTTTTAGGCTCTCCAGGAAAGATCATTATCTGGGGGCAGGAGTTCGCTACTCTGAGGTTATTCCTGCTTTCGGTCTCCTCCTACTCCTGGAATCAGGTTTCTGAGCAAGCATCACGTTTTGGGGCAGTGGTTATAGGTGAGGTAGGGAGGCAGAAACAGAGCAGGGGTGGCACTCCGCACTCTGCTTGGTTCGTCTGGGCCGTTTTCAATCTGCTAGTGTCACTGCAGTTCTCTGGTGAAAATGTCAGGCCTTTTTTTTTTGTCAATTTTGTTTTTCCATTAGTTTATATTCAATATTATTTTGTATTAGTTTCAGGTGTACCACATAGGGGTTAGATAATCACATACTTTACCAAGTGTTCCCTCCGATATTTCTAGTGCCCACCTGACACCACACAGTTGTTACATTAGTGACTACATTCCCTATGCTGTACTTTACCTCTCTGTGACTGTTTTGTAACTAACGTCTGTACTTCTTAATCCCTCATTTTTTCACCCAGAAAATGTGAAGGCCTTTGCACTATTTTACCTAAAAAGGCCCCTTCCTGCAGCTTAATTTAGGAACGTGACTCTTTCCGTTTCCGCTTCAGACTGGGTACTCACAGATTACCTAATTAAGAATCAGGCATCAGTGGCTTGTGCAAGTGTAAGGGTGGGAGCAGGAATCGGGATTTCACTGGGTGACAATCTATTTAAGACACAGTCTCTTGAAACACAACGGGACTAAAATTAAGCACTACCACAGAAAGGCATTCATAGCTAGGGGTTTTGAATGCAATTTGAGATAATCTGGAAACCATTACTTAGTTTTAGATAACTGTCAGTTACCCAAGTCTTGCCCTCTTCCAGCCTGAGCCTTTTTTTCTGCCTATCTAAAGAAAGCTTTTTAGTTCCCATCCGCTTTTTATTCCCAGTAAGGTGCGTATCTGCAGAATACCTGACCATGTGTGTAAGAAAGTGCTCTGTCTACCAAGAATTCAGGCTAAACCACATACACTCTGGAAAGCTTTAAGACTCTCCGGACCCAGAGATGAAATAAATCATGCACAAATCACAACAGAAAGGAATCATACTGGATTGCTAGTTCATACCACCAATGTCATAATCCCCCTTGCGATACTGACAAAGGTGTAAAAATGACAGAAAAGTACAGGGGCTCACATGGGTTAGGCAGACAGAACCAGACAAGCAGCAACCATTTAATGTAAAAGACAGAAAAGAAGGAAAACCTTGTGTATTTAACTTGAGCTCTGAAGCAGAGCGAGGGGAAAGAAAGGGGGGCACTAAAAGGTGAACTTTTTCTTGATAAATCCCTGTGAAAGTCCGTAAGAGTTTGCCTTCAAGACCATCCAATGGAGACTGTTGTTATTAATGGGATTCCCCCCAGGTCAAATTTCTAAAAAAGTTAAGAAAAGGGGAGGGGGGAGAGGCAGGAATCCCAAGCCCTCTTGCTTACAGAAACCTGAAACAAGACTTGTTCCTAAAATGTGAACAAAAAGCTCAATCTCCAAAGGCCTGCCTGCAAACACCCTGATACAAAAGCCCCTCATATCGACTCAGTGCTTGTGCTCATGCAACAATTTAAGCAATTTTAAAAACACACGTTATGGGGCTGGGATGGGAGTAAACGGCAGAAAACTGTACTTGAACAACAATTAAAATAAAAAAATACATGTCCACGTACACACTTAACCCACAGACACAGAGAACAGTGTGGTGATGGCCTGAGGAAGGAGGCCGGGACTGGGGGAAGGTGGGGAAAGAGGGAAAAATGGGACATTGTAACAGTATAAACAATAAAGTAAAAACAAAGAAATAAATGTCAGATACTGTGCTTTTTACAAATATAGTCTGCTCTACCGTAACATGACAGAATTTAAAGAAACTGCATTTCAAAATCACATATAAAAA